CGTGCCACTTCAAGAAAGTGTTGGTTCTTTTAGAACTCCCCCTGGAGCTTCGGCCCAGCCCGCCGGCCACCCAGGAGAGACCGCAAAGCATCTCAACATGCCCCAAAACGTCTCCAAGGCGGCCCAAAATGGCTTCTAAGATGGTCACGCTGGCCCAAGATGGCCTCCAGGTTGCCTCCAAGTCCGCCGAAGAAGCCACTACGACTGCCCAAGATGGCTCCAGGATGCCTCCGAGTCCGCCCGAGAAGCCTCCAAGATGGCCCAAGACTGCCCCCAAGAGGCCTCCAAGACAGCACAAGAGGCCTCCAAGAAGTCCCCCAGGAGAGCCCGAAGAGGCCAAAATTATTGACTTTCCGTCGGTTTCTTTTTCGGATTCTGGCACTTGCTTCTTTTCGGCCTTCCGACGGCCGGGGACGGCCCAAGACCCTCCCCCCAAGATCGCCCAAGAGGCCTGCCCAAAGACGGCCCAAGAGGCCTCCAAGACGCCCGAGATGACCTTCAAGACGACCCTGAACCGCCCAAAGAGGGCCCCAGGACGGCCCAGAGCCCAAGACGGTTTCCGTCGGTGTCAGACGGGCCAGGAGGCCACCAAGACGGCCCCAGATGGCTCCAAGATGGCCCAAGACGGCCCAAGATGCCCCCAAGAGGTCTCCAAGAGACCTCCACGAGGGCTTCCAGGAAGGCCCGAAGGGGCCAACATCACGGATCGCCCGCTGTTTTTTTACGGATTGTGGCGTTTGCTTCTGTTCGGCCTTCCGCCGGTCCGAGACGGCCCAAGAGCCCCCAACGATCGCCCCAAGATCGCCCTAGAGGCCTCCAAGATGGCACCAGAACGGCCCAAGAGGTCCCCAAGACGGTCCAAAGACGGTCCAGGAGGCCTCCAAGACGCCCAAGATGGCCTCCGAGACGGCCCTGGAGCACTCCAAGAAGGCTCAAGTCGGCCCAGGGAGGCCCCCAAGACGGCTTCCGACGGCATCAGACGGGCCAGGCAGGACTGCCCTAAGACGGCCCCGAGAAGCCCCCAAAGGCCCCCAAGAGGCCCCAGGAGGCCCCCATGATGCCTCCAAGGGACTTCCAGGAAGCTCCCAGGAGGCCCCAAGAGGGCCCCCAGAGGCTCCCAGGACCTCCTCCTCCTCCTCCTCCTCCTCCTCGTCCTCCTCCTCCTCCTCCCGAACATCCCCGCTATCCTCCCCCAAGTGTTCCCCGAAGGGCTTCCACAACGGCTGGGGGAACACGTGGTCCGATAGCTCGGCAGAGCTCTTGCCACAATGCCCGGCCGCATGGGCGATCCCAAAAGAGCAGGGGGCCGGCGGGGATTCGCCGCAGGCGCCTTCGATAGTACACCGTTCCCCGAGCGGTCTGCCTACCATCAGACCTCTGAGCGTGCGCGTCGCCCTTGCGGGGCCGGCGCGCACACAAACGAAGTGTGCTTGGGTGGCGCCGGCCCCTCTCCGACCAGAACGCCACAGCGACGGGACGCCTCCAGGAGGCCATGGGCCCAGAGCGCACCGACACCTCCACCCTCGAACCTCGTCCGAACTGTCTGGCGTGGCTGTTCCCGGCGCCCCCCCCACTATCCACCGAGTGGTGATTTCCTCACGCGGACCCTCTGGGTCTGAATCCCCTCCTGGGACTGGTTGGTCATCCTGAGTCGGCTTTTGAGAATGAGCCCGTTCGCCCCGAATGCTTCATGGAGATGCTCTGAACCAAAACTAGTCCACGAAAACTATTCCACGGTGGAGGCCATGGTAAGAGCACCTCTCGAAATCCAGGGTCCTTCCGGTTAACCCTCAACCCTCGCGCCAGCTGTAAGGGCCCACAGAAGCCGACAGTGACGCCAAACACCTTCCGTCGTGATGCAGGGCCGACCTACCGATCAGCCTCGACTCTAGGCCACCAAACTTCGCACCTCGCGCCACGCGACACGTTGCCACTGTCGCGTGGAACCGCTCGGCAGCTCGTGCCCCACGCGCCGCCGCGCTGGTGCCGGGCAGGCGCTGCTGCCCAGCGAAGGGGGAGGAAGCGAGGAGAGGCGGGCACGCGACGACGAACGCGCAGGCGGGAGGCCGGGGCCTTGCGGGGCCGGCGCGCCGGCCGAGGTGGCCCCGCGATGCGTGGCTACCTTCACGCCCGTGCCAGGCCACCTCGGAGAGGGGCAGCCCTCAGGCCGAGGTTGCCCCCTCTTTTTGCCGCCGCCCGACCCCCCCCCCCCTTGTGGGGGACAACGTTGGTTAATTAGGGCTCTGTTGTTCCCATTGTTCTTCGAGCAGGGGATCGACTGCATAGTTAAATTGCCTTCAACTAGGTTTCTCGTCGCATGTGCAGCAAAATGCCTAGAATGTTCGTGGGTCAACGGGCATGTTACGCAAGTTCCATGGATTATTCTGCAGTCGATCCCTGATTCGAGTACTTCAGGGCCACATCCCAGAGAAATAACTATCTTCGAGCACCTAGAAAAGTATAGAAACAGTGTCTACCCGACATGCTGACGGAGGGTCGAACGAGCATCGCCGCCCAGGGCCCGACACGTGAAAACCGAGGGCGCGCCGCTGGATGTCCCGGGGGGATCCGCTCCCCCCCCCCTTTCCAAGATCCGTCGTCGGGGACCCCCCCCCCTCCCCCCTTTTCCCGGTCCGTCGTCGGGGAACCCCCCCCTTCTCCCCCCCTTCCCGGTCCGTCGTCGGGGACCCCCCCCCTCCCTCCCCTTTCGAAGGTTGGGGGGGGGATCCGAACTCCCCTCCCCCCCTCCCCCCCTTTTGGCCGCCAAATTCCCCCCCACCCTCCCCTCCTTTCGCCACGGCGCCCTCTGGCTCCGGAACCCGACCCCTACCACCCCTAACATTAAACCTCACCCTTGCCCTAACCCCTTAATCCTAAGCCCAAACACTAGCCCCAAACAGTACTCACTACTCATTACTCATTAGGCACCACTCACTACCCACTACTCACTATTCGCTACTCACTACTCACTTCCAACTACCCACTACTCACTGCTCACGACTCAAAACTCACTAACCACTACTTACTACCAACTACCCAATACTCACTACTCCCTACTCGCGACTCCCCACTCACTACACAGTACTCACTACTCATTACCCACTACTCAATACTCACTACTCACCAAACACAACTCAGTACCCACTGCTCATATTACTATCTAATATCACTATTCACTACCCACCAACAACCATCCACTACTCACCACTCACTACTCACAATTCACTACTCTTTCTCTCTTTCTGTTTCTATACAGATTTCCATATCGTCTTCTATATCCCCTAACGCGTTCCAAAGCTTGGCCAGTAAGTGGGTCATTTGTTCTAGTGTTGCCTTTCTCTATTCTCTCTGTTTCGTTATCTCTCTGTTTCTTTCTATATTTGCATACATATATATACACACACCTGTTTATGAATATGCTACCCACTGCACATAACTCACGAGTCACGATATACTACTCGCTAATCGCTACTCCCTGCTCGCTACACAGTACTCACTACTCACTACTAAATACTCAGTACTCCCTGTTCCCTACTCGCTACTCAATACGCACTATTCACTACGCACTACGCACTACTCACTACTCCCTGGTCCTTTCTCACTGGTCATTGTCAGTTCTCACCACTCACCACTCACTACCCTCCAGTCGCTACTCACTATTCATTACCCCCCACTCGCTGCCCAGTTCTCGCTTTTCGATGCTCACTGTTCACTCCTCACTACTCCCTGCTCGCCACTCACAACTCCCTACTCACTCTTCACTACTGACTGATCCATCCTCACTGCTCACTACTCACAACGCCCTACTCGCTACTCACTACTCACTACTTGCTAATCCCTACTCGCTACTCACTACTAACTAGCCACCACCCACTACCCACTACTCACTACTCACAGCTCACGACCAGTACGTACTACTCATTACTAAGTACTCACTACTCACTACGCACTACTCTCATTACTCATTCCTCTCTACTCACTACTCACTCTCATTACTCAACTACTCAATACTCAGTACGCACCACCCACTACTCACTACCCACTACTCACTACTCAGTACTCCCTACTCACTACTCATGAATCAATACTCACCACTCACTACTCACTACTCACTACTCCCCACTCCCTACTCCCGACGCCCTACTCGCTACTCACTACCCACTACTCACTAAACACTATTCACTACGCACTACTCACTAGTTACTACTCACTGCTCCCTCCTCCGTACTACCCACCTTCTCCGGCGCAGAAAGGAAACGCGTGAGAAGCCCCCTCCACGGCCCCCTGTTCGGCGCAAAGGGGGGGGGGGGGGGGGTCCGAACCACCCCCCACCCCCCTTCCAGCGCCAAGGGGGGAGGGGGGGGTCCGGACCACCCCCTCCCTTCAAAGGGGGGGGGGGTCGGACCCCCCCCCTGAAAAGGGGGAGGGGGGGGTCGAAAATCTCACCCTCCTTTGCACACCCCACCTTTCCAATTGCAGGGCGATCCAGTGGCGCGCTTACGTGGAAACCATCAGTTTCGGTACTTTCTTGGAGCTTGAGATTCAGTCTGGTGATCAGAGCGAAAAGCGAGGTTGGGACATCATAGCGCTGGGGGGGGGACAGGCTCCGGGGGGCGCGCACCGACCCCCCCATCGCCCCGCCCGAGAGCGTGCGGATTCGCGACTGGGGGCCTGTGGCCGATCCCTTCCCTGCAGCAGCTTCGCTGCAGCGTTCCCACCCAACCCCGCTAACGTTGCCTCTGGCCCCTGCAGCTCGCAGGAACGCAGGGAGTGCGGGCAAGACTAGCCCCCAGATCCACTGCGTGTTGCGGTTTCGGGTTCCCCTCCCCAGAAACCGCAGGCGCAGTGGACATGGGCAAACATCTGGCCGCCAGAGGCCAGCCTGTTGTCCGCAATTGTCCACTGCGCCTCGGCCTTTTGGCGCCCCTTCCCAGACAGTCCAAGCAACAGCGCTTACGGATACACGTGGAGGGGCCGCGCCCCGCGCTTGGAGGGCGGTCCTCGGGGACGGGCCGGCGGGGCGAGAACCACATGTACAGGGTCCTTCGGCGAGGGGCGCGCGCGGGGCCGGCAAGGGAGGGGGAGGGGGCAGGGGGCGCGTGGGAAGGGGAGGGTGTGGGGGGCATGGGAGGGGGAGGGGGGGAGGGAGAGGATGGGGGGCATGGAAGGGAGGAGGAGAGGGAAGGGAGGGCGGGGAGGAACGGAGCGGAGCGGGGCTGGGCGGAGCGGGGGAGAGGGAGAAGCGCGAGGAGAGAAAAAGGAGCGGAGCGGGGGGAGGCGGGCCTGAGGGGGAGGCAGCGAGAGCGGAAATGGGAAGGGGGGTGAAGGAGGAGGGCGAGGGGGAGAAGGAGCGGAGAGGAGCGGAGCGCTGAGACATCCCCAGGAGGAGAGGCGCCGTTACCGGCTTGCGCAAAGGGGCCCTGTCCCCGGACTCGGAACAAAACGAAAAGGAATGTTGTCCCCGAGGTGCTCCTTGAAACTGCGCTATCCCAAACATGGTGGCCGATCACCACCACTCGGGAACATCGTCGGCACCGATCTTGTTTCCGTGAGCTCCTCGGCTGTGCGCTGAAGAACGGCGAGGGGGGTGCAGGGCGAGGGGGAGGCAGGAGGCTGGGAGGGAGGCGGGGCGCTCGCACACGCGCCAAGGGCGCGGCTCTCCGGGGACGCAGCGGAGGCGACGTGGCGCCAAGCGCCAATGACCCACATGCGCAGATTTCTCGCATGCGCGGGTCCCTCCCAGGTGCTGTGGAGGATAGCTGTTCTCGCAGGCTCTCGCTGCTCTGGCTGGACTGCAAGTCCCTCTCGTGCATCTTGCTGCAACCCCGACCTCATTGTTTGTACCTGTGCGCGTGGCCGCAGATCTTCTCGTACGCCTGACATCGCAATCGAATCACGAGTTCGACTAGACATGCCCGAGCAAAATTCTCGCGAGCACCGCCATGGTAAAACACAACCAGACGTATTGTAGTACGGTGGAGGCTAGTCCGCAAGAAACCCTCAACAAGAAACCCAGCCCTGATACCCCAGGGTGTCCCTAGATTTGTGGTGTGGGAACCTCGCGCCTTCCACGGCAAAACCATCGAAACCCAAGAAACCCAGGGCACCCTGGAGGCAAGCAGGGTGTCTCTTGGCTGGGGTATCCACTGTTATTACTTTCCCAGATGTGGGACGCTTCGCCTTCAACGCCAGCAACAACTTCACCGCAACACTGCAACAGCGCGCGCTAACGCTGGTCAGCAGTTAAGGTATTCTGGATGGGTCGGCTCGTATTTGTGGAACACGCTGGTGCTGCTGTGCGCGATTGGCGCCTCGTTCACCCTCTCTTCCATCGACACCATGGCCTGCGCATTGAAATTTGCATGTGGTGTTAGAGACGATCCCTCCAAAGAGCTTCTCGACATCGCATTCCGTTTGTCCACCATGTTGTATCACTGTACTTCGCAGTGATATCTGTTGCCATGCGCTCAAGCCTCTCCTTGGTGTTGGCCTGCGCGTGCAGATCCGTTCATCCACGCACTGCCTCAGCCTACGCGCTGCAATGACCACTCGTCGGCGCTCGCGTGAATGGGCAGACGACCCCGGTGCGGCCATTCCGGGCGACGCTGCGCTGGGCACCACGGGCGCTGACCTGCGCAACCTTCCCCCGCTCGAGCCATGGCTACGGAAGATAGAGGAGGAGGATGGAGCAGGAGGAGGCGGGAGGACGTGGAAAGGAGTAAGGGAACGGAGACGGATGACGAAAAAGAAGAGCATGAGGAAGAGGCGGAACACGGGAGAATAGGCAGCGGCCTGCGGGACTTCTTCCGCCGCAAGTGGGGCAACAACACCATTCGCCTCCGGCCGGGAAGACAGGACGAGGTAAGCATCCAATGTTGCGCCGTTAGGCTCGGTAGGCGAGCAGAGAGGAGAGCGGATGCCATAAAATGATGATGTGGCGCGAGCGCGCAGTTTGACATGAGTTGACCAAACGACGAGACGAGCAAGAAACAGCGGCGAAATTACGATCGGGCGCGCGCAGCGCCGAACCGGCTCGGGCGCGCGCACGCAGGCGCCTGCCGTACCGCTCGTCGCCGTCGGTCTGCCAGAAGCAAAGCAGATTACCGCATCGAGCGCTAAAACGATTGCATCCGGGCGCCACGCATTGCAAGCACGACTGCAGCTCTCCCCTCGGACCCCTCTGCGCTGTACCTGCTACTCTGGCTTCAACCTGGGCCCGCCCGACCTCCCCTGGCCCCCTCCTTACCTCGGGAACGGCGAGAAGGTCACGACTCCACTCGGGTCATTGCGACGGCTGCTGGGGCGCCTCAGGTCGAGCTGGCGGGCCTGAGGCCTAGTGAAGCTAGCCTTGTCCAACGAACCCCTCTGGCAGCCTCCAACTCTCGGCGGTGGACAAACCTCCCTTTAGCAAACCTCCCCTTAGTGAAAACGGCCTGGGACCGAAACCGACGGACCTGGACCCGCAAAGATGGCGGCCGCGACGCCCTCTCGCGAACCGAAAACGGCCAATTCCTGAATCGACGTGTCAGGGTAGGAAGGAGGTCTGCAGTCAAAAACCTTAATAAGGACGCGCGGTCAGGACGCGAGACCCTTGGAAGCCGAAGTTGGGATTTTCGGGGCGGCGGACGACGAAAACCCCAAGGACGCAAGAGCAAGGGGGAGCAAGGACGCAAGGGTACCCTGAGCAAAATCGCGCGTCCTTATTAGGGTTTTTGACTGTAGGAGGTCGATCGACCTGCGAAACTCCAGGAGGGCCCCGCGGCGCGGGCGTCGCCCAGCCGGCTCGGGCGCGCGCGCGCGGGCGCCTGCCGTGCCGCTCGTCGCCGTCGGTCTGCCAGAAGCAGCGGTACTTCTTGAGCGCGGCCACAAGGCGGGCGTCGAGGCCCCTCGGCAGGGCAGGGGGGGGGGGGCTGAGGGGGAACGTTGCAGTCAGGCTGCTGCGAGAAGGAGCGCCAGAAAAAACACGAAAAACATTTTTGGGGGGCACCAGAAGCGCCCAGGTGCACGAGGAGAGCCAAGGGAACAACCACGGGATGACCTGCGGAACAGCGAGCCCCTTCCGAACCTGGCTCGGGGGGGGGGGGGACATCGAGGATAGGAGGCTCGACGGTTCGAGGTTCGAGGACGCGTTCTTCGGTTCCTCCCAGCAGCTGCGCCTCGCCGACGGCGTTCTGGAGGTGCCCGGATCGTTCCGAACCGCCGCCGGAGGCCCGAGTTAGTCCTCGAAAACCACTAGGGGGCCAGCTCAGGGGGGAGGCAGCGACCTGGAATCGGCATGCATCGCCGATTGGTCGGAGTTCGTCGGCAATAGGCCCCCGACAGCGGGTCCGCACGGTCCTGGGCGGGGTGGGCTGTCCGGTCTGCCCCCACCGGCGACCAGTGGGCGACTGGGGGTCGATGCCTCCCCTCCTGAGGCTGTCACCCCCCGTGGCGTCGCCCCCGAGAGACCGAGAGCGGCACGTCCCCAGGCGTGTTTCTTCGACGATCGACCGATCTGGGCTTTTCCCCAGCTGCGGCCTCCAGGGGCTACCATCGGGGGCCATCAGCAAATAGATCCGAGACGAAGTGCCCCTGGGGAAGGGGTCGAGACTCTCCTGGGCCCGCTGAATGACAGGGATGACGCGGATTTCTCGGGTCGGCTGATGTCAGGGAAGACGCGGATGTCAGGGAAGACGCGGATTTCTCGGGTCGGCTCTGGACTCACCTTCCCTGGTGCGCTTCGCGCGCGAAGGCGCGGCGCCAGAAGCGCGGCAAAGGGGCAAGGGGTCCAGCGCCGACCCACGAAATCTGCACGGACCCCCAAGAACGCATGTTTATGCAACTGCAGACTGACCAGGATTCCGACGATAATCCAGCAGCGGCGACGAGGGCTCCCAAGGACGAGCAGCGGCATCGGTGTCTTGTCCCCTTCTGAATTTTTGGTTCTTCGACCTGACGTCCGGGAAGTCCGGGTAGAACACGGCGGCGGCCGACTTCAACGGCGTCAGCAGCTGCGGAGTCGAGGGCAGCAGGCGCTCGCGCAGGGGCGAGCCCGCACCGTCCGCGAGGAGGACCCAATCGAAGCGCCGGGCGTCGCTGGCGAGGAAGTCCGCGGGCCGGTGCAGCGCGAAGCCCTCGCCCCCGCTGCGCCTCGCAGGGATCTGCTGAGATTGCCTCGCCTGGGGCCCTGGGATCCTCGCAGGTGCATCTGGCTCGAGGACTACCGCGGGAAGATGGGGTCCAGGGCTCCGGTGGAGCGTCTGCGATGCTGCATCTTTTTCACGACGTCGGACCTCCGGGGATCCCAACGGTTCGCATGCGGTCCAGGACCGGCACGTGCCCAGACAGCCTCCGAGCGGATCCTGTGAGCAGCGTGGCTCCCCAGATGCCGGCACCTCTTCCCCAGCACTGCTTTTCATCCCGAGCAGTTTTTTTTGGACGCTCCCCAGACCAATTGCGGGCCCCTGGAGGCCGAAAGTGAACCAAAACCTCCCGTCGTGACTCTTCCAACAGCGAGAGCCTGTCAGGGTATGCCTGCCTGGCCAAGCCGAGCGGGCATACAAAGACACCGATCCCGGGCCAAGGCTGGGCCTGGCCAGGGCCGGGCTTCGCGCGCGTGCAGCTCCTGAGGAGAGCGCAGCACACGCACACTCAAACCTGTGGGGAGGAGGGAGGGGGAAGGGCCAGGATGTGAAGGCGCTGTAGGTGTGGGTGTGGGCCGTCGGACCCCGAACGGGGGCCTTGTTCGAGCGGGGGCATGCATCTGACAACACACACACACACACACCCGTAGACCCTGGTCCACCCCGAGAAATCTGCATCTCCTTCCCTCCCCACTGGCGTGGCCTGGGCCCCACTGGCCGATTTACCCATCCGGATGGGGATGTAGGCTGTTCCCTTCGGGCTTCGAGGGGCATATCCCCCACTGGGGTGGTAGGGATGGCGGGGATCGGGATGGGGATGGGCATAGGGATCGGTTAAGCGATACCGAAGATCTAGAGCTCGCATGCCTTGCGAGCCCTAGACTCTGAGTATCGTTGTAAAGTTTAACAGATCCCTATCGACTGGCGCCCATACCTATTTAGTATGAGTGCTAGTATTGAGCTCCATGAGCTCCCACCGCCCGAGGAGGCCTCTGCGCCAGCCCCAGCAACCGCTCCCCCAGCCTGCAGTACGGGATGGCCTTGATGGTCGCGTCGCAATCCGCGGCCAGCGCACGCTGCTCGCCCGGCCGCAGCCCTAACGCGAGCACGTCTTGCTGATCCTGGAGGAGAGCACAGAAATCGGCTACACGCAAGAGCGACCCCGGGCAACGATGACCTCTGGTGCGCGGCCGAAGGTAAGGGCCCTTGGGGACCCCACCGGGCGCGCAAGCCGCTGCTATCGAACCGCACTCAGCGATCGGGGGGGCCCATTGGGCTCGCACGACAGGTCACTCCAGCGAAAGGTCACTCTCACGTGCAGCCGACGAAAGGGCACAAGGCATGCAACCATCATGCCTAGCAGACGGAACGCCGCACCAGGAAGGAGGAGGCTCTGCTAGCCACGGCGAGCCTCGGTCACGAAGAGGCTCCCCGACCCACCAGGTCCAGTGAGCATCGTTCAACCGATCCCTCTCCCCATCGGCGTGGCCGCGGCCCCATTGCCCGATTTACCCCCCCAGATGGGGACACAGGCTCTTCCTCCTCCGGATTTCGAAGGGCAAATCCCCAACTGGGGTGGTGGGATGCTGGGGATCGGGATGGGGAGACGGATCGGGATGGGAAGAGGGATCGGGATGGGGAGCGGGATCGGGAGGGGGAGAGGGGTCGGTTCAACGACACTGCTCCGAGGACTGGCCCGCAGGCGAGAGCTCCTCCCGAGCCCAGAGACTGGCCCCCAGCGTCTCGACTGCAGGCTCAAGAGCTTCCAGGGCTCTGCGCGGGCTCCTCGGGCCGGCGCTGGGCCCCGCTCCCCGCTGGTGCGCGCCGCGCGCCGGACCGCGGCGCCCGCGGCGCCGCCGGGAGGTCCGGCGCCGGCCCGAGAAAGCCGCGTGGAACCCCCAGGGCCGTGACAGTCAGGCCGCTATCGGATATCGGGCCCCCCTCGGCGATCTACGGGCGATTGGGGGTCGATGCATCCCACCTAAAGTCAAGAACCCTAATAAGGACGCGCGGTCAGGACGCGAGACCCTTGGAAGCCGAAGTTGGGGTTTTTGGGGCGGCGGACGACGAAAACCCTAAGGACGCAAGAGCAAGGAAGAGCAAGGACGCAAGGGTACCCTGAGCAAAGTCGCGCGTCCTTATTAAGGTTTTTGACTGTACAGGCCTGTCCCCCAACCCCCTACCGTTCCCCCTCACTGGCGCGCGCCGCGGACCCAGGCGAGGCGCTGGCGGCGCCGCAAACAGGTCCGGCTTCGACCCGAGGATTCCACGCGGACGCCGAGGGCCGTTGCACGTTGGAGGTCGCTGGGGGGGCATCGTTGCTTCCAAAGCGAGATCACAATGCGCTCGGCTGGCGCGATTGATCCGTCAATAGCCATCCTTCGGACCCCCATTCGCGACGAGACCTGATCTGAGGTTTGCACTGACCAACGATTGGGTTCGGTTTGCTGTTAACTTACGAGCATTACCCCCTCCACCGTCGCCCCAAGGCACAGTTCGCGTTCGCTGCCCCTCAGCGACTCCCATTTACACGGGCCTGGAGCTCCGGCGTCGCGGGCAAACAATGCAACACATCGTCAGAAATCACAACCTGGGCCCTGGACCCCATCTGTCTACTGCATCTATCGCGACGGATCGACCTGTGAGGGTCGCGGTGCTCGAGGCTGGGCGAAAACGCCCAGTGTCAAAACATTGCAACGGCCACACCTGTGTGTGCGTGTGCCCGCCCCTCACTGCTCCTGAGCGGAACTACTTCTGTCACTGCATGTGCCTGTCTGTCGTGCTCACCTCCCCTCCGCACGCGCAAACGTTTCAACGGCTGCATTCCCGTCGACACATGTTCGGTGGTAGCGACCCCCTCTTTAGCGTCGCGCTATTGCCCTCGCTGCGCTGGACCAACCAGCCGTGAAGGAAAACAAACATTACGCCCGCCCCGCTCTTCTGCGCTCCCCGACCGTCCAGCTGCGACACCCAGTAGCCCCGGCGCTCCCAGCACTCCCTCACGCTGTGCCGCTCGAACGCGTCCACCCGCAGCCCGCCCACGCCCGCCAGCAGCAACGCCGAGGCGGCCCCCGCCGGCCCCCCGCCCACCTGAGGGGCAGCGCCAGGGGGGGGGGACTGGCTCAGGGGGGAAGCATCCACCTGGGATCGGCGATAGCCTGAACTCCTGGAGTTGCACTCTTTTCGCAGCGGGCGATTCTGCCTTGGCTCGGGCCCAGGGGCCATCACCGATCGATCGGGCTCAAAAAATGCGTCAGGAAGATTGGGTCCAGGACTCTGGCCGATTTGTTTGAAAGTTGTTGTATTTCTTTCGTGACGCTGGGTCTCAAGGATACATCGCCGATAGATCGGCGAGAGGCTCCCGACAGCGGATACGCACGCTCCTGGGGTGGTGGGCCATCGTGCCCCCATCCGCGATGAGCTGGCGATGTACGAAGTCGATGCGCCCCCTCATGAGCCTATCTCCCCAATGATACCCGTCCTCTGTTTTCGGGTCATAGCTCGGGTCTCAGGCGGCCGTTCGGGACGATCTTGGACACCCCCATGCGCCTCTCGGCGAGGCGCAGCCGCTGGACCGCATCACGAGGCAGAAAACCCTCAGCAATCGACCAACACGTCTGAGAACCCCTACGAGCCGGTCCCCCCTCACCCACCCCTGGATGCCCAGACATCGGAACCAACACCAACACAGGCGGTTGTCCCCACCTGGGGAGGGTGATCCTAGACCTTGGTGCCTGCGGGAACCTCTCAACCACCTCTAGGAAGCCCGAATATTACCACCATCGCCGAGACTGGGACTATCTTCCCTCGGCGGAAGCAGCCGCCAACACTGGTGTTGGAGCCAATCTCGATTGGGCAAGGACCGGCCGTCCCGGCATTCCTGCATGCCTACCACGACACATTCTTATAGAACAAAAGGCGGTTCTAACAACAAGACAGCGCTCGTGGACCATAAGGCCGGTTGTGTTAAAACAAAACGGTCTCAGCCAGACAGGTTCCCCTGACTCTTCGTGCAAGCCACCCGAGCTTTCTGGCACATCCTCTGGTGGGACTGCACTCCTGGCGTTGCCCCCGGCCACCACGGCAACGCGCACCAGCTGCCGCCTCGCCAACCTCGCCCTCCCCGGCGGGCCCGCGGGCGCCCCTGTTCGGGAGCGGCCAACGAGGGGGGCGTCCAAGAGGGGGGGTGCAAATCATGGCAGGCGGCATGAAATGAGACTAGGTGCCATGAAGTCTGAGGAAAGATCATGGCCCACGCCAGGATATCCCCACCCCCCCCTAGACACCATGGCAGGCGGCATGAAATGAAATGAGACGAGGCGCCGTGAAGTCTGAGGAAGGATCATGGCCCACGCCGTGATATCCCCACCCCCCTCGTCATCACCCCCCTCTTTGCCGCCCCCGACCTGCCAGAGCCGCGCCCGCCGCGCCGCCTGGCACGGCGGCGCCCAGCACGCGCCCGGCGCCAGTGACCTCTCGGCGGCTCGGAGATTCGGCGGCGGGCCCAGGAGGCAGAGGGGGCGGGCCCTCTCAGAAGGCTTCAGGAGGAGGAGGAGGAGGAGGAGGAGGAGGAGGAGGAGCAGGAGGAGGAGGAGGAGGAGCAGGAGGAGGAGCAGGAGGAGGAGAAGGAGCAGGAGGAGGATCTTTTCTTGCCTCAGGCCTTCTGAGCCCTTTTCTGAGCCTTCCTCGAAGACGTATAGACGGCGTCCCAGAAGGCCGGAACACTTCTGAGAAGCCTTGCCGCCATCTGATACGGCCGGCCCCTTCTCACTGCTCCGCCCCCCAGGGCGGGCCGCCGAGAGATGGGGCCCTGAGGGATGGAAGCGCAGGGACGAGAACCTCGAACAGGGAAGGTTATGATTCCATTCATATCGTTCGGGTCCCCTCCCATTCCATCCTACCCTATCCTTAGGGTCCTCTCCTCTCCTCCCGTAATCATCTGATCCACGTCCTGTCCTCAGGGACCAATCCCTCGGGGCCCAGTCTTTGAATAGAGGCCTCCTAGGTGGGGTCCGAATAGATGGGTCCGAGGATTGCGCCGCATCGCCGATACATTGGCGATGCAACGGCGATGCATCGGCGATGCATCGGCGCTGTCGGCGTGGAGAAGATCGGGCTCCACATCGGGCTTTGCAGGATCCTGCACAATCCTGCGGGATCCTGCAGGATCCTGCGCGCTAGCCTGGGTCAATGCAACCCTGGCTTTGCAGGATCCTGCAAGATACGGCGCTCTGGCTGACCCCCGTTTGAATCTACCCCCCTTCTCGAGGCTCCCGACCCCTCAGGGCCCCATCTTTGGACCGCCGACGACCTCCAGTTCCAGGAGGCCAGGCGGCGGCTGGGCGGCAGCCGGGTTGGCGCCGCGGGGCCGCAGCGCCAGCAGTAGCACCGCCACGCGGGCGGCGCGCCGCATGCACCGATGGGGTGCTGCTGGAAGTGCCCCTGGCCCCGAGGTTTCCCCAGGACTCCCTGGGACGCCCAGACGGTATCCAGCAAGGCTCGACCGAAACGGCGCTTTCCGTTTTTGTGTTGTTTTCGTTTTGTCTCGTTCTGCCCTCGTCCCGCCCTTGCTGCGAAGCGAAGTCAAAACGAAAACGACCCGCGGAATCGCAAACTTACCCTGCGACGTGCCCAGCCCGTAAGCACCAAGGGATGATATAAGGCAATGGTGTCACAGCAACGCTGCAAGGTACGGTGCAATGCGGATATCCAGAATCTAGATCCTGCGAAGTGTGCGTGGCCGACTCGCAGAACAGAGGTACAAAAGACCATGATGCAGTACTGGGAAGCAGAAGCAACATGAAGACATCGGTATGGAAGGACATTCACTTCGGTAGAGGCTGCGAGATGATGGAGCATGGGCGAGATGAGGTTACATAGGCGGAAAAAAAGGCAACCAGACAATGAAGTGTCGCGTTTCTCCATGCCAATATGCTCAACGCCTGCGCGGCCTGCCCCCCCTAGGGACGGCGAGGTCCGCGAGGTCTGCGTGGGACCCCAGTGTGCTGGCTCCCCCAGCAGCCCTCAAAAGTGGCTACAGTGTCACACTTCGCAGCCCCGTCCCGATTGGATCTGCGTGTGGTCCCACTGTGCTGCCCCCCGCGAGCAACCCTCGAAAATGACGACAATTTCAGACCTCGCTCTCCCCCAAGGATGGCGCGGTCCCGGTTGGATCTGCGTGTGGCCCCCCTGCGCTGGCTCCCCCGGTAGCCCTCGAAAATGACGTGAATTTCACACTTCGCAGCCCCCCCGTGATCGCGAGGTCCCGTTTTGATCTGCGTGTGGCCCCACTGTGCGTGTGTCCCCAACGTGCGGGCTCCCCCAGCAGCCCTCGAAAGTGGAGACAAGTTAACACCTCGCAGCTCCCCAAGGATAGCGCGGTCACGGTTTTTGGGTCTGCGTGGGGCCCCACTGTGCGGGTTCCCCCAGCAGCCCTCGAAAGTGGCGACAATTTCACACGGCGAGGTCCTGTTTGGTTCTGCGTGGGGCCCGAACGTGGCGACAATTTCAAACTTCGCAGCCCCCCAGGGATGGCGAGGTCCCGTTGTTTGGGTCTGCGTGGGGCCCCACTGCGGGTTCAACCAGCAGCCCTCGAAAAAGGCGACAATTTCACACGTCGCAGCCCCCCCAGGGATGGCGAGGTCCCGTTTGGATCTGCGTGGGGCCTCACTGCACGGGCTCCCCCAAACGTGACGACAGTTTCACACTTCGCGGCCACCAAGAGGGATGCAAGCAGGCAGTTGCAGGCAGGCGAGAGGGGGACAGAGGGCGGGAGGAGGAGGAGAAAAGAGTTGGCACCCCACGGCTATCCAAAACGGGAACCCACCCGAGGGAAGGCTGAGACACAGAAGCCGTTCAGCTCGAGCCCTGCCCCAGAGCGCCCCTCACGAAGCCGACCCCAAAATGGCGCGACAACCTGGGGGCACCTTGGGCAAGAAACACTTCTCGGGCAACGCACGAGACGAGGATACTACGGGGCTGGGGTGGAGGGACGCCGCGGCTGCCCCGCCAGGGGGGGCCGCCCGAGAGGCGCCCCCTCCAGCGGTCTCGGGCCGCCTGGAGTGCTCGGCATGCGTTGGGCCTCGTCTCCTCTCCCGCCACCAGCGCGTGGCGTAGGCCCCCCCGAAGCGGGCTCTTCCTACGGTCCCTCGGCCAACGAAGACGTCCGCAACTCAGACCTTCAAGACCTTAAGGCGCCAATTGCCACCATTCACTGTTGTCCTCCTCTTCCTCCTCCTCCCCCTCCCCCTCGTCCTCCTCGTCCTCCTCTCTCATCCTCCCTCCTGCTTCCTCCTGCTCCTGCTCCTCCTGCTGCTGCTGCTCCTCCTCCTCATTATCCTCCTCCTCCTCCTCAACCTCCTCCTCCTCCTGCTCCTCCTCCTCTCTGCTCCCTCCCCCACCCACTGCCCGTCCTGCTTCTCCTCCTCCTTCTCCTGTTCTTTTCGCAGACTCGATGCTGCAACCCGAAACCGGTCACGGATCGAAGACTGATAAAACAACTCCTCCTCCTCCTATTTCTCTTCTCGTCTCTCCAACTCCTCATCCCCTCACCTCCCCTCGGTGGGGCGGGCCATGCCTCTCGTCTGAGACGTCCTCACTCAACCCAGATGCTTGAAAAGGCCGACTTCTATAGGGATGGACGGGGTCTCTTTCAATCCGACCACGCACATTATTCTGACCAGTCTCTAATCGTGACAGGGACGCATGGGGGGGTCAGAACGTGGCTCCCGCCTAAACGCATGACACATTTGTCTGTTAAAAGCTTTCAGCATTTGCACGGGGAGGAAGGCGGCTCTTGTTCGAAATGTTGCTTCACCGTGGCACTGCGCACCTTCGTCTTAAGCGTTCCCAGCAATTGCGTGCACGTATGGCTGGCGGTGCCTTTCCAAACTGGAATCTTCGTTTGAGACGTCCGTCATCCTCGGATCAAACATCTAACATTGCACAACAACTATACGGGTAGAGGGCGGCGGATCTCAATTTCACGACTCTCGCGCACGGATTGAGGATGGCTCTGTTTCAAAGCGAGGCTCTCATAACACATTCATTTGTCCTTTGTGATCATACCTCGTCGAAATCCTATTGGCTAAAGCCGTGGGCAACCGCTCCTTTTCAAAACGGGTCCTTGGCTTGCAATACAATCGAGAACTCGTCGTTCATGGCGGGATTTCCCGCAATAATGCAAAGATGATTGCAGGCTTTTGCGACGAGGGAACTTGGTACGGGCGTGCGTATTGCAACAGCGTTGTTGCATCTTGTATTGCTCTTGCTCGCCTCCTCGTCTTCCTCCTCCTCCTCCTCCTCCTCCCTGTCCACCTCCCCCTGCCCCCCCCCCGCCCTCCTGCTCCCCTTCCTCCTGCCCCCCCGTCCTCCCTCCTCCGTTCTCCTCCCTCCCTCGGCGTCGCTCTTCTCGTTCCATTCCCTCCGTGCCGATCTGGGCTAGCACTAGCTTATGTTGACGTGACTCGAGGTATAAGCCTGTGCAATTAAGGAACATCCTGATACTGCCCACTGGGAAGAACGAGCCCCCAGTTCGTGGCAGTCTGCCACTTCGTGTGCCCTGAGTGCTGCTCCCCCCTCCAAAACGGTCTTTTTTGACCAATGCGTGTACGGCCAGGTCAGTCAGATCCAGGGGCGGGGGAGAGGGGGCCGCCGTGACGACCCACACCACCCTCCTGTGTATTGATCCTGCCACAGGTAGGTGGCGCACGGCGCCCAAGGAAGAGGTACCCTCAGGACCCATGTGCTGCATTGACAAGATCTGTGGCTGTGCATGCAGCTGAGGCTTACAGGTTATGTGATCCACGTGAGCGTGAATCCAGTGATATTCCTGGAGGTCTGAGCGTGGTTATTCTCAGGCTCTTGACAGATATGCCGCAGAGACTGATGGCTGATGTGGCCTTGGATTTTGCTGGTTTCAGAACCAGGAGGCCTAGGGATACTCGCTTTGATTATCCCAGGAGACATTTTTTTTTGAATCGGCGATAACCCTGGTTATCCCGGGGGGGGGGAGGAGGGGGCCGGCCGATAACCTAACCCTCGCGCTGTGGGCAGCCTTGCATATGCCCGCGCCCCCCCTCCCGCGGACCTGCACAACAGGCAAGGTTAGGTTATCCTGGGGTGGGGGAAGGGGGGCAAGCCCGATAACCCGGGCTATCGCCCGACCCTAAAAAGAACACTCTCCAGTGCCCCGCCCGCCCCTCCTGAGAACCCCGTGGTGGCCCCCCTCAACCTAACCATCTCAATTTGAACGCGACTTCGAATCACGTGTTCTGCCTGGCCTCCCTCCTCCCTCCTACCCTCCCCCTCTCCTTCCTCCCTGTGGATCCAGGACGGATCGATCACATCATTGGATGTCAGGGGCCATGAACCTTCGGAGGCCCTCGCGGGTTTCGTGGGTCGGCGCTGGGCACGCCTCTCCTCGCGCGCTTCGGGCACCAAGGGGGCCAGGGCCGACTCACGACATCTGCGCGGACCTCCGACAAAAAGCGCCCCGACAAGCAGAGGCGCTTAGCATACGCACCCAAGGAAAACATCGAGCAGAGCAGGGTTGTAAAGCAAGCGCCGTTTGTGACAATGCCAACTATGGAGGGTCGCGCGGCAGCCACGTGCGCAACACTTTGGCGCCTTCGGATGCGCGTGGAGGGGGACGAGCAGAAACCATGAGGAATGAGGAGGAGGAGGAGAAAGAAGGAGAAGGAGGAGGAGGAAGAGGAGGAGGAGGAGGATGAGGAGGAAGAGAAGGAGGAGGAAAGAGGAGGAGAGTGGACGAGGAGGGGGAAAGGAGGCGAACGGGGAGGCAGAGGTGAGCGAGGAGGGAGGGAGGGTGAGAACGAGAAGGGAGAGGGAGGTCGAGGAGGCAGAGGGGGAGGGACAGATCGGGACGGAGAGAGGGAGGGACAAGAGGGAGGCAGGAGATGGAGCGAAGACGGAGGCAGAACACCGGGGCGGGCCGCTCGCGGGAGCGCACGCAGGATCGCGGAGCGCCGTCGCCGTCGCCGTCGCCGTCGCCGCCGTCGGCGTCGTCGCTATCCGTTGTCGTCGTCACCACCGCCGCCGTCGCCGCGTGGCGCGGCGCGCCGCTTTCCTCCACGCCCGCCCCGCACGCAGGCGCCCGGCCCGCGCTGGGAGGGCGCGGCCCGCCGGGCCGCGGCCGCGTTGCTTCGGGGAGGGGAGGGGGGCGGCATGGCCTGAGGCCCTGGCGTGGCCTGTGTTTCGCGCCCAGGGGGGAATGAAGGCGGCGGCGGCGGGGTTTCCCAGAAACCCTCCCGCCTTTTGAGAAACCGTCGCGGGGCGGGGAAGCCCGGGGAGGAACCATCTCAGGAGGAACCCTCCGGCCCGGGGAAGAGGCCCTCTCGGCAGGCGGTGCGGTTTCTCAGAAACCCTCCGGCCTTCTGGGAAACCGTCCCTGTTTTCGGGAAGAGGCCGAACTTCTCAAAAGGCCGGAGGGTTCCGAACCGTCTGTGATGGCCTGCCCCCTCTGCATTCCCCTCTGGGCTCGCCGCCGATCCCGGCGTCGCAATTTCCCTAACAGCGTGTCGCGTGAAGGTTCCAGATGGGGGCGGGAGAAGGCCCACAAAATAATCCCGCGGGGAGCCCGAGGCCGCCCGGCTCAGAAGCGGTCCAGCAGCAATTTCGCCTGAGACCTCCTAGCGATGTATCCATTCAGGGATCGCGTTTACGCCTCAAAGCCCGGTATTTTTGTTGGCTCGGACGGCGATGACTCCATGTGACAAGAGTACACGAAAAAAAACGCAATTGGCGTGCCCTCCGTGTTCTCCCAGTTTTGCGCGTTGCCAAAACTGAACTCACGCGTACGAGTCTTGTCCAACAAAAAAACACCCAGATGCATGTTTCATGGTTTGCGGGACATGGGAACGGAAAGGGATAATATACACGACTCAAATTCGTCGCAAGGCTGTCCTGCGAAAGTGGACGAGAGTTCGGCAAGGGATTCGGACAAACATGGGTCTGGACCACGCCACGATTGCGTTGCTGTTTGCTGTCGGCGCTGACTGGGTCAGACAAATCCTGCCTCCCCTGGACAGACGAACGCACTCAAAACGAACTACCTGTAACAATTAATGCCCAGGCGAGCGGACGAGATAGGAATGGCGGAGGACGAAAATAAAACCACATCGGGGACCAGCCTAGCATGGAGGATAAGCTGGTACACCCGAAAATAACCAGCTGCCTGCTGCAGGCGTCGGCCAGCACGGCCTATCGATACGAATGGTCACTTAAAACGTATCTGCCAGATCGGGCCAGCGCTGCGTTCAAACCTCGATGGTTCTGGCGGTCAATCAAAAAACAGCATACAAGGAAACGGATGGTGGCCATGCCAAGGCATTTGGAAATCTCCAGCGAGCGCAGCTCCAACGGGAACGAACCAAACTAGCTATCACGATTGCAGATGGTGGGGAAGCGGCAGCGACGAGGGAGAAACGAGAGAAGATGAATGGGAAAAACAAACACACTCAACCCTGCAGCGCCGACGTGCGTCCTGATCCGCCGCCGCGCCAAAGAGCATCCCTCCGCAATGCGATAAAGGACGGGCGGGCGCGCCCGAACTAAGCGAACGCGCCGGTACTCCGCAGCGCGCCGCGCGCCGTCGCATGAAAGGGAACGTCCGATATGTTTCTCCCGGCCTGGTTCGGGGGTACGCGAACACGAGACAGGAGAGGCGAGGAGGGGAAGGAGGGAGAGGTGCCGGCGTCGGCCCGCAGCACAAGTGCATGAACTTCCGCCCCGAACTGGGCTGAACACTTTTGACTCCAGGAGTGCGCGCTATCGGCCACGCTGCTGGGACACAAATACACGGCGAAAACAGGGCCTCGAATCTTGGCCGCGCGGACCTGTCGCTGCGCTCCGCTCGACGCGCTGCGCGACGCCATTCGGGCGCACTTCGAAAGAGGAAAGTGGTGAGGGACCGAGGAGGAGGAGGAGGAGGAGGAGGAGGAGGAGGAGGAGGAGGAGGAGGAGGAGGAGGACGAGAACGAACGAACGAACGACTCTGCGGAGGTGCGCCAGCACGGGTCTCGCTCACATCACCGATTAGAAAATCGGAAACTCAACGGATTGACTGAATCTTACCTCTAAATTGCGCCATGGCCCCCACATTTGTGAACGCCACGCGTGGCCTCGTGGCACGATGCCCCCACCCACCCCCTTCCACTGCTGGACTGCCAACATTTTGAAGACGGCAGGGCCGAAGGGTCGCCCCCCCCCCCCCCCCCTCAGCAGACAAGCCAGCCGTCAACGACGGCTGGCCAGAATAAGCTTGCGCTTCGCCGCTGCAACGAAGGGGGGGGGCGGCAGTCGCTGCGATCAAGAGCGAAGCCGAGAGAGCCCGAATGCGCGAGTCTCCCTCTGTCGAAGATAGGGCCACTGGCGCCGTCGCACCGTGCGCGCCCGAGTCCTCATCTGGTATAGTCACGCGGCGTCTAGCCCGTCGAAGTGCACCTGCATCGCGCGCGCCGCGGCTCCTGGGTGGCACGCCATGCTTGTGTTTGCCGCCGAGCAAGACCAGCAAGTTCACGACCGCTTCCTCTATCTGTTCCGGCCCCACCGAGAGCCACGCCTTTACGAACTCGCCCGAGTGGGTGGTCTGCATTCGGCAGGTGGAGATGGTATCCGCGAGGGTCGAGTTGTCGGGTTTCTCGTGCTTCGCTTTCGGTTCGTATTCCTTCAGCGCCGTGAGGTTGAGCTGTCCGATCTTCTCGCCATGTCCGATCCGCGCTCCGATCAGGGCCAGGAAAACAAGAAAATAAAGGGCGCCCAGGCTCTCGAGCTCCGCCACCGTCTGGCCCGCTTGAATATCTTGAGCGTGCTCTGTGCGAAGCCTGGCCGCCTCTTTGCCGCGGGGCTTCGCCGTCAGCTGCGTGGCCGGGATGGCCCCGCGCTTGCTCGGCATCTGCACGTGCCTGCGCGCCTCGGACTCGAGGTGGTTGATTGAGAGCTCGCGACGCAGAACCAGCCGCGTATAAGAACTGGGAAGACTGACTGGATGCACTCGACGGGCATGCGATCGAGGCGCTGCAGATCTGCGGGCGCTGCAGATCTGCGATCGCGCTAGTAGTGATTCTCTGCCGACTGCATCGCATCTGCTGCCCCTGCGAGCCGTGGGCCGTGCACGCCGCCCGCCTGGGCCGCCGTCTGCCCGTGCAGTCCCGATGGCGCGCGTCCTGCTGACGGAGCCGCTCCCTGACCGCGTCATCACCTGGGGTCGCGCCCGTGACTGCGCGCCCAATCTCCTCCGAACCTGCCTCGCAACTCCTGGGCGCGCTGCTCTGCCCCTGTGCTCGGGGCCCGCCCCGCCAAACTCGACATCGAAGCGCAGGTCAGGGGGCGTGGGGGGGGGGGGGGGGGGGGGGGGGGCGCGCGCCTCGCGGATGGGTTGTTGCAGCGCAGCAAATGCACGAACCCCCCCTTGAGCCCGAACGGCTTCTGCGCGACGCCCGCGATGAAGGGAGTGGGCGCTAGCGGGGTCGACGCGTACCGGGGGCGCCAGGACCTCGGGGGCCTTGGCAGCTGGGGGGCGCGGGCTGAAGTGAGCAAGACAACGTTTTGCTTCAGGGACTGGACCACGCGCCGTCTAGCTAGAACCTCCGAAGAAAACGTCGATCAACAATAGAAGCGCTGGTTAGTCACAATCAGCTGGTGAACGGGCACTCGTGCTTTGTGAGCAGGGCGATTGCGCTGATGGGCCCTGAGCGCAGCGCGAGGCGCAAAGACCTGCTAGCATGGCACTCCAGTGGCAAATTGTGCCTCGCACGCGATATCCTGAGGGTGCAGGGGCAGGAGGGGCAGGAGCCCTTGCCTGCGCCATCGGGAAAGCGTGCAAGGTTCTGCCCATGCCTGGTTCGTCTCACCCGCAATTCAGCACGGGCATCTCCGATGCAAAGGCGCCTCTGAAGCATCGAGGCCTTAGGGGCCCCTTGTTCTTGATCACCTTCGCCTAACTTAGCAAGACCATGAAGGGCGACCTTCGCGAACCCCAAGATGACCTGGCCGAGCCTGTTGCAATCCCTTTTTATTCCCCCAAGATGTAGGCTTCGAGGCCCAAGAGGGCCGCTCTATGGAGGGCCCCAGGAAGGCCGCGCGTTTGAGCATGAGTGCCGTGTGCTGATTCCAGAATCTACCGAGTTTGCACCGCGCCTGACGGGCCGCATGTATTCGAGCTCGAATCTCGGCCCCACATCCCCCAGTGAGCTGCTCCACGCTCCCAAGATACACCGCCTGGGCCCGAGGTGCTCCAAGTGAACGAGGGGTGGCCCCCAAGAGAACTGCCCTCGTTGAAGTGTAACCTCCAAGACCCACGAAGACGGGGAGGGCCACCTCCCTGTCGGCGTCTTGGGCGAAGCCCCCCTGCTCGGATAACTCGTTAGAAAGGAAGGTGCTGGGGCCCGCGCCGTGCCGAAGGACATGCTATGCAGACTCGTCTCCAGCGCGAACTTCCATCACGGCGTCGGCGCTCCGCTGCAAGAGAAACGTCTGGTCCTGCAGGTCGGGTACGCCGGCTCCAACGACCTCGGTCAAGGCGTCGTGGCTTGTGGGCGGGACGACGTTGCTCATGTCCCCCTGCGCATGGAGGTGCGAAGCGTGAAGCTTTCGAAGGCGCCGCGAGTGCAGTCTCGCTACCAGCTGAGCTCCCCGGCGCGCGCGATGGCGGGCGTGCTCGTGGACGTGGCGCGGCAGCTGGGGCATCGAATGCGCGGCGAACACGCCGCGGTGCCACGACTTACCGAGCGGGCAGAAACAGTGAACCAATATCATCGCCATTGTGATTCGCTTTGGGTTACCTTTAGGAATGTGGCAAGCGCGTGACCAACGCCGCCAAGCTGGAGTGCGACGCGACATACGAACCTGCCTGAACAGTGCTTGCAGTCGCTCGGCAAGCCGAGGGCAAGGCGCACGAGGTGGAGGTCGAGCAGCTTGATCTGGAAGAGCCACAGGTCGTCGACCATCATCGCCTCGAGCCTCGACCGACGCGGCGCGCATGATCGCCGACCAGGTCTCGCCAGGGGCCGAGTGCGACGGGGCATGGCGGCGACTAGCAGCCTTCTGACAGGCGCGCAGGGTCCGAGCCCCGTCCACATACGCCGTCGACGATGGGGTGGCCTCTGAATTGTCGGGACACCCCTGCTCGCGCAGTTCCAGCGCCAGCTCTGAGGGGGTCCCAGGATCGGGGGCTACGGCGGCCGAGAATCCCCCTCCCGCGCGCCCGCCTCCACGGTGCCGGCCCACTCCTCGAGCGTCGGCAAATAGTGCGGCAGCGCGTTGGAGCGTCGCCTGCGAACGCCGCGGCGCCTCGCTCCCACATGGAACGCCAGCTCCCAGACCGCGCTCGAATGCCCGAGGACAGCAGCGCGCTGGGCTTCCCGAAGCACGGGTTCGACATGCCCACGATCAAGTCTGGCTCTCTCTCTCTCTCTCTCTCTCTCTCTCTCTCTCTCTCTCTCTCTCTCTATTTCTCTCTTTTTTTTCCTCTCTCTCTCTCTCTCTCTTGACGAATCTAGCGATCGCACCGACGCATGACTGCTCTGTCTTCCCTGGCGATGCAATCCCTGCCAAGGGTGCGCCTCTTGAGTGAACTCATCGCGTCGGCGCCGATGCTCAGCAGATGGCCCAGCGCGGGCCCCGGCCTGACAGTCCTCAAGGGCCGACTCGCGGACGTCCTGCTCCAGGTCGTTCCGCGTCGCAAAGCGGGTCCCTCAGGCGGGCGCAGTGCCTCCAAGTGGTCGCGCGAGCAGCGCTGTGCCTCTCCAGCTCGCTAAGCAGACCGAGCCATCATCCATATGGTAGAAGCCTCGCCACGCGGTCATGGCCAGATCTCGGCTCCTGCGCAGCGCTGGGGGGTCGAAATGCAACTTGTAACGGGGCCGCCAGAAAAGCGGGCAGTTGTCCTTCGGCTGGGCGTGGGGCATGTTCTGTAGATCTCGCATCGCCCATCGTATCGCGCAGCAAGAGACGGGGGAAGCGATGGTCCCTCTCGGGGCCCAGAAGTGATCAGGGTGCGACGCGTGGTCGCTCCTTCTGCCCGAAGTACGTGGGACCAGTGGCATAAAACGAACCGACAACTGCTAGCCCCTCCAATGACATGATTCCCCAGAGCTCTTGACTGGTGAAAGTAAATGTGCCCGTGTTGAGAACCCCCCAAAAAACCTTTGGATGTCGACACCAATATGATGCACCGTACCTCAACCCGTCGCACGCTGGCCGGAGTCGCAGTTCGAGTCTGAACCAAGGACAAACAAGCACCGCGAGGGAACACTCTGGATGGTTTTCTGGAACTAACCTGCCAAACGTACGACCGTCGACTTCCAGCGGTCAACCTGCGTGCGCTGCGGCGGCGGGAAGTAGGCGACCAACGCTAGGACATCAAGAAAGCTGCCGTAGTCGCACACCCCGCGCCCGCCCCAGCAAGTCCCGTGGGGGCTCATATGCATGTTGGATGTGGCACCTGCGGAACACTCTCTTGCGCGAGAAAAGACTGCAGCCTGCGGATTTGTTCGTGTACCTGCCTCGCCGCCATCCGAAGTCGAGTACCATGTGCTTGGCGCTCTGATGCACCGTGGCGCCGTCACCTGGGCGCCGGTTTCTCTGCGTCGCAGGACACATCATCATATCGGCAAAACCAAACCGAAAAGAAATGTCGAAGGTACGCCATGAATCTGTCATGGAAAATGGGTTGCAGAATACGGCTTGCAACAAAGAGGCCCACATAGGGGGGTGGGAGCGGGTCTGCAGGCGAGGTTCGTCCTGCGGGGCTAGGAGCAAGGGCCCGCACACCCATGGTCTGGGCAGAAAGGCGCTAGGAGGAGGAGGGGGAGGAGGAGGAGGAGGAGAAGGAGGAGGTGGAGGAGGAGGAGGAAAAGGACGATGATGATGATGATGATGATGATGATGATGATGGGGAGGAGGAGGAGGAGGAGGAGGAGAAAGACAACGACGAGGAGGAGGAGGAAGACAACTACAATGCCCTCTGGGGGCGTGGCTGCTGCGCGCGCCAGCCTGCGTGTGCTTGCGCAAATGCAACTCAGCGGGGTGGCCGCGGACCAGCTCCAAGGCGATCTGACCGAGCGTCGCTGCGGTGGGCGTTCCGGGCCCCGCGGCGCGCCTCGCCAGGCAGCGCGCCAAGTACATCGCTGCGGCGCGAATGGCCGAGCGCAGGTCGAGGTCTGCGGGCAACCTCGCTGGGGAAGAAGAGGGGCGGAGGAAATTTCAAAGAGGCACCGTGAAACAAGGGATAGCGAGGCTCCGCCACGCGAGCTCCTGGGCCACCGGGCAACCTGCGTAGTGTCCAATGGAGTACTCACAAACGCACCCGCAAAGACACCGAAAACCGCGCTGCTGGAAGCGCCGTCCCGTGCACCCACCATTGAACCACGTGCGTAAGAGAGCGGCTCTTACCCGCGGCGGGGCAACCGTCCAAAGAACGCCAATGACCTGTCGCACGCGCGGGGCGCGCCTGGCCAACGGCAAAAACCCCAGGCGCCAACGCAGAATCCGTCGCCGCCAGAAGCGCTCCGCCTCCCCCGCCGACGTCTCCTGCACGATCCTTCGCCACAAATTGCGAAGATTTTTGGCGCGGACGTCGTCGTCGAGCACCGCGTCGGCGACTCCCTCGATGCGCTCTCGCACTGCTTTTCCGTGCTGCCAGAACTCAGCTCCAGCGAACGCTTCTGACGTGAAAATCAACACCCTACCGCACTTCGTGCGGTCCCCCAATAATCCCTAGGAGTACATCGGAATGCACGTTTTCACAAGCCGACCTCGTACTCATCGATCCGCCTGTTTACATTTGCCGTTATGCGGGTGCTTTGGGGATGTGTTGTCCCAACGGGCGATGTTGTCTGGTTTCGAGCCCTGGGGCTCCCACGGATTGATCGGGCTGTAAGAATGCCATAGAAAATACGCCCCAGGGCACTGGTTGAGTTCATGCTGTATGATGTTGCATTGCTTCGTGACTTCAGTTCTCAGGAGTGGTGGAGCACTGATATCACTTGCGCGCCGCCAATGAGAACCCATCAGCACGTTACTGTTGAAAAGCACCAGGCCTTCGGACACAATCGAAGGGAGCAGCACGCTGACGGGCTCCCAACGGCGGTGTGCCAATGATGCTCCCGTGGCGGCGTGCCGTAGAAGCGGGCGGGGCGAAGGGGTTTGCCCCCCGAGAAGGCATGGGGCTCCATCCGAGAGGCTCCTCAGCAGAGCCCTGCATGCGGATCGCCAACAACCAATTTGGGATAGAAGAGCCCCGCACAGGACGAAATGTTGGCCCGATACTGATGCAAATAACACCGACGTGTTTTGATCGTCCGGCTTGATCGCTTTACGGTCGGGATTTTTTTCTTAGCGTGTCGCGGCGGCGGCCCCGGCGACAACGCTGCACCTGCGAGCTCCGTGGGGCGTGAGGCTGGGAATGGCGTGGGACGATGACGCCTGGGAACTGGCACGTGGTTTGCGCGTCGCGCCGCAGCGTGGTGGGCCAGCACTGGCGGAGCGACACACCGAGCCAAAGATAAGGGACTGGACTCTATACACCGACGTGTTCTGCAGCCCCGCACTGAACTTCGCACAATGAAGCGGATTCTGGTGTATACGGGATCCTGATGTATACATGTTTCCTTGTTTCCCCGGGAAAGTGGAAAACAAGTATACATCACACCACCCCGACGTGGCCCCCGACCCTCAACTCAAAAAAGTTCTGGGATTGCAAAAGCGCCCGCCACTGGTGGTGTATATGCTCCAGTTTCCGAAACGATCCTGCCTGGGGCCTGCTTGATCGATGTGCCCTGCGGGAAGGCCGCCCCCTCTCGCGCCGCCTCCCCCCCCCTCCCCCGCGTGCCGCGGGGCCTCTCTGCGCGTCCTGGGCGCCTCGCGCGCGCGCGCTAGGCGCCGAGCGGCACGTTGCGCCCGGCGGGCATGATGTCGTTGTAGTGGACCTTGAAGGCCTGCAACTCCGCCTCGATCTCGTTGATCTCCGCAGCGCGGGAGGGCGGCGGGCGAGGAGGGAGGGGGAAGAGCGAGGAGGGGTGAGGGCCAAGGAGAGGAGGGGGGAGAGGGACTCCTTCTCCCTCGCACCGCCTGGAGGGGCGAGGGATCAGGCACGAGGGAGGAATAGGATGAGGCGAGAGGGAGGGGGGCAGAACTCAGGAGGATGGAGGGAGGGAGGAGGGGGCTCCAGGAGGGGGGACGCGCAGGAGGGAGGACGAGCAAGGACGAGGATGTAGGACGAACAGCGGCAGTTCCCAGCCCTCCCCCCCTCCTCCCCCATCATCTGCTGCGGCTGCGTCGTTTCAGATCGCGGGCGCCGATCTTCTCGCCAAGCGAAACGGTCAGCCAAAGGCTCGACGCGTTGAGGCTTGTCTCGGTCGCTTCCTCGGAGACACCACAAACAATTACGCCAAATACGCAAACGTCCTTGAATGTTTGCAGCATGCGTCGAAATTCCCAGCTCCTCGGCTCGTTCTCTATATATTGGCTCGCCTCTTGTTGCAACGTAGGTCCAAGGTGTTAGGAAATGTTTGGAGCCCTCGGTCAGGGCACTTTACGAGCAAGCGTTGGGAAGGTTGACGGTATTCGGGCCCAACGTTGCGTCCCTGAGGCGAGAGTGCGACACATCGATGTAGCGAGGACAACACAAAATCTGATGGCATCTATAATGAAGCGCCGGATCGGTTGACGGCAAGGAGCCCCAACTGTGTCTGGCAACTGCCGCGTGTCAACGTGACTGGAGGTCGTCTGAGCTGGAGGTCGTCTGAGCACAGCTTGAGGCCGCATTCGGGCCGCACTCCTAGCTTTCCCCCCGACGTCCGCCTGCTGCCCCTGGCCCCCCTGTCTTCCCAGGCGGTGCGGGGTCATCATACTGGGCGTGCGAGCAGGGCCCTGCCCTTCCGACCCCGCCGCCCTGTCTGCGGACGGAGTATGGAACGGGACGGCCCCGCCTACGCCAGGGTGTGGGCCCCGTTTTACGGTCCGCGACTTCGTGTCGCTCTCTCGCCCTGTTCCGCCCGCCTCCCCTCCCGGCTCTGATGCTGGCGCCTACCTGTGCTGATCCATCCACGTCACAATGGCAGCACACAGCTGGTGTCAAACTTGAGACCGTCTGTATCATTCGGAGCACGCACGCGGTTGCCTCCCTATTCGGCAGCTGGAACGACCGAAACTCGTGACAGAAGACGGACTTCTGATTCTGCACTGGTAGGGTCTGGCGCGCAGACCACACCAGATGATTCATTAATCGAATCTCATTGGCATGCTGGCGCATGGATCACTTGAGACACGCAAATTGTTTTCGGCCGATTGTTGCGCTTAAGATGTATCCGCATTATTACAATTCTCCCCTCCTTCTCCTCCTCCTCCTCCTCCACAAAGGCTGCGCATAATCTGCAGGGGCGAAGACTTGCCCGAAGAGGTACCGTGCCAGCTAGGCTGGATGGCTGGATCTGAGAATGCGTATGCGGCAAGATCTTGTCCCTCTTTGTTCCTTCCTCTGCTGATCTTCATCCATTTCATCCGCATCCTCCCTCCTCCTCCTCCTCCTCCTCCTCCTTCTCCTGATCCTGATCCTAATCCTAATCCTAATCCTCCTCCTCCTTCTCTTCCTCCTCCTCCCCCTCCTCCTCCTTCCCACTCTCCCCCTCCCCCCCTCCCCCTCCCTGTCACCCTCCCTCTCCCACTGCCCTCCTCCTCCCGACCCCTCGTTTTACTCTTCTTCCTCCTCCTCCCCCTCCTCCTCCCCCACCTCCTCCTCGTCCAACCTCCTCTCCCTCCGTTTCATCCCCCATTGTCCTCCCCCTTCAATTCCTGCCAAACACCTCGGAAAGCGTCCGGGATCCGCTCTTGAGCCCCAGATCTTCCAGGACTCCCCGTAAGACTCCTCCTCGAACTCTTTTCCCTCCCTGCCCCTCGTCCTCCTCGTCATCGTGATTGTTCTCCGCGTCCTCCTCGCCCTCGCCATCTTTCCTCATCGTCCCTCCTTCGCCTTTCTCCCCTCATCATTCTACTACGTACACAATTTGAAACTATGTTTCCTGTTTCCTCCTCTTCCCCTCCCTCCAACCCTCTCCTTTCCTTCCCTCTCCTCCCCGTTCCTCCTGCTACCATTCATCCACCTGCTACCATTCATCCACTTTCTCGTCTTCCTCCTCCCTAGCCCCCCCCCCCCCCTCAAAAACCCTTGCTTTTCCTCCTCCTCCTCCTCCTCCTCCTCCTCCTCTCCCTCCTCCTCCATTCCTTTTCCTTATAATTAAGTTCTCCCTGTCGCACCCCAAGGCCAGTTTTTAGGGCGGTCCGGGCGGTCCGCCTGAGATTTCCTCACCATTTATGACCCTGAAGCTCAAACGTTGACAACAATTTCGCACATGGAGGGCGGGTGACTTTCAACATGTGGATCTCGCCGTAGCGCCGCACACAGTCGCTCTAAAACGTTGCAAGAGTTTCACGGATTGGGGGCGGGTCGTTTTCAAAATGTGGCTCTCGCCTTAGCGCCGCGCGCAGTCGTTGTAAAGCGTTGCAAGAAATTCACGGATTGAGGGCGGCCCCTTTTCAACATGTGCCTCTCTCCTTAGCGCCGCGCACCTTCGTTTAACAAATTTGCAAGAGTTTCACGGATTCCCATGATCAGCGTACCAGAAATGGTGTTTCGGAAAGGTTCAGGGTTATGAGGGCGCAACAGTAACGTTGATTCGCGGCGCTGAAGTCCTAACAACGGCGTTCTGGTACGATTCAGGACCGTCAAGACGCAACAGTCATGTTGATCCGTGGCGTTGGAATCCCGAGAACGATGGTTTAGCATGCGTCAGGGTCTTCAAACGGCTGTCTTCCAACGAGGCAGTTCCCTCAGTGGAAATGAACCCTTGTAGGGGCCTATGAAGAGGGAGCTTGGAGGGAGGGTTTATTCCAACATCGTTGATGACTCTTGGGTTTACACTGGTCCTCCTCCTCCTCACCCTCCTCCTTGGTTTACGATTGTCACGACGCAACGGTCGCGCTGATCCACGGCATTGAAGTCCCAGGCATTGTCTTTTGGCACACTTGAAGTTAATCAGAGGGCTGTCTTCTAATGGGCCACTCCTCGCATTGAGAACTTGCTGGAAAGATGTGTGCAAGGAGAAGTTGGAGGAAATGTATGTTGCAACAACTTTGATATGTTTTGGGTTTGCACTGGTCGCACTCCTCCTCCACCCCCTCCGCCTCCTCCTTGGTTTCGGAATGTCCGAACGCAACAGTCACGCCGATCCTCGGCGTTGAGGTCCCGGGAATTGTGTGTTGGCGTGGTTGTGTTTTTAATGGTTCCATAGCCCTCTGGCTCTCTGTCTGGCTGCTCGCTCGGGCCTCTGGGCCTGTCTCGGGCCGCGGTTCGGGCGGTGTTAGAGCGCTCTTTTTTAGCGCGTGCTTAGCTCTGCGAGGGAGAACGGCGGCAGAAACGAAACATGGGAGTCAAGATAGCAGGGAAGACAAGGAACAGTCTTTGACCAAATCGCCAAGCAACCCGAACAAAGATGAGGATCCATAGCGACGGGCATAACAACTCAAAAACAACTGAGCTAAAGCGCTAAAACACCGTCGCGTTGTTCTCGTTGTGAGTGTGCCAAAAGGCCGAAGTGCAAAACGGTCTTTTTGGTGCTGAAATCCAAAGCGTGATGTTGGTTAGCTAATCTAACAAAAACCAAACTCAACAGGACACGCAGGAAGAGGAATGGGATAGGATATCTGGCACTGGAGATCATAGACATGTGGACAAAACGACCAGTAGGGCAAGTGAGTGTTTGGGCCCACGCATCCGAACAAACATCCTGAAACTGACGCACCGTGGAGTCTCAGTGTCGTGATCCACGATCCCGAGGGAGTCCCATCACAACAGATCTGCAACGTATCGTGGACCTACGCAGCCCATTCGATGGCCGCAGTCTTGCCAATATTGGATACCGCTGCTCAAGACGCCGGGAGAGCATGGACGGGAACGCATCGGCGGAAATGTGGCTACGAAACACTCAACGAGCGCTCACTGAACTTCCGGACTCTTACCGAGAGCTTTGGTGTCGCTCAAGAAGCCAAGCGCGGTGTGCAAAGCCTGCCTGCCTGCTACGCAAGGGCCCTGGTCACCAACAGATCCCGCGGCCGCCACCCGAAGTCTTTCAACTAACGGAACATTCAACCAGTGATCCTGGGTTAAGCTTTCCCTGCCCGATGTCCAAGAGGAACAGGTGCCTTCCGAGAAACGCGGCATAATATTTGAAACAACGGATTCCATTCGGGGAGGGTCTGAAGCGCGCGGTTCTCATTAACGCGGTCCGCGTCGTTATCTCGAAGCTGGGGATCCGAGGTCCACCCCACTCCCAGCAAGCAAAACTCGCCGCGATACAGAGAGCGATGGGGCAGCCTGGAAAAGGCAGAAAGAAGGGCGTGCTACTCAGGGGGAGGCCTCCTCCTCCTCCTCGCTCATCTCTTTCCCTTCGTCGCCCCCCCCCCGCGGCGGCGCCTTCAGGTTCAGGCGGTTCTGATTCGGAATCATGTCCGAACCGTGCTTGAACAGCGCCTTGTTCAGCCCTGCGCCGCGGTGCACCCCGCTGGCCGCCGCGGGCGCGCGCCCCGGCAGTCGACCGCACGAAGCCTCGCCTCGCACGCGCGCGCCCCTGGCACGCGCGAGAGCCGAGGGCCGCGGTGCCCCCGCGCGGCGCCGCGGGGGGGCCGCTCGCCATTCGGGAAACGGGTCCTGAATGAAACTGGTCCCGAGATGTTTCGCCGTTACCGGGCGCCTGGGGCCCCCCTCGGGCGCCAGGGGCTGTCAGAGGACGATCCAGGACGAGGACGTCCTGGAGGAAGGCCCCGGGGGTCCAGGACCCGTTTCCCACAGGACCCGTCTGCTTCGTGCTGAGGCCGCGCGCCGCGCGCACGCGCGGATGGTTCGCAGGCCGCGGGGGGTCTCACGCGCCGCGCGGCGTGTGGGTCTGAGACCCTGGGCCGCTCGGGGGCGGCGGGGGGGGTCGGCATCGGCCGTGCGTGGCTCGACGGACTGAAGTGCGCACCCGCCGCTGAAAGAGGGGGATCTCTTCTCGACCGTCCGCAAGTCCACGATAAAAACAAGCTGAGGTCCCTGTCTGGGCTGCTGGGGGCTTCCCCAACCAGGCTGACAAGTGCAGGGACGAGCACGGGCCGAAATGCGCGCCTGCCGTCGAAAACATGGGATCCCTTCTCCAGCCTCCGCAAGCTCACGATGAACAGTTTTTCTATAGCCAGGCCGGCGGTGCAGGAGGTTTAGATGAAGAGGTGCGTAACCACTGTATGCCAAGCAGCAGACGCCTCACCGTGGCAGGCCCAAACCCAACATAAACTTGAGACAAAATGGCGCGACGGGAGAAAGGACGATGACGATGACGACGGCAGCGGCGACGAAGCGCACGGCAGCGGCGCCAGGACCACGCGCACGGCAGCGGCGCCAGGCCTCCCGACACGTGCAGCGAGTTCGTGATGTCAGCCCCCAGGTAGAGGTCCTCGTCAACACTGCTGACGCCACCATCGCCACCATCACCACAACTGCCAACACTGCATGCCATTGTCGTCATTGCAATCGAAACACGGCCATGAGAACGCGGGTCAAGAACATGGGTCCCTTCACTGAACGTCGAGGACCTCATGTACATGCCTCAGACGAAGAGCATGACGAAGAGCATGCCAACATGGAGAGCCCAGGCAAGAAGAGTAAAGGGACCCCTCCAAAGCAAGGGCTGTTCGCAACCCTCGTGCCGGCTGTACTACGACCAGCACCACCATGGCCACCTGCAGTTACCACGGCGAGTGCCACTGCCAATGCCGCTGCATCGCCGTCACTGCCACCACCAACGCCTCTGCCCCACTGCCGCCCCGACCGCCAGTGCAGGCGCTGCCGCCACTCACTGGCTCGAAGCGGCCCTCCGCCAGGGCCAGGTCCAGGCTCCGCCCCCCTGGTGGTCCTGGACCCCCGCACGGGAAGCCCCTCGACCTCGAGGGCCCCACGGCTGACCGAAGACCGACCGAGCGGGCGCCAGAACCGAACTACAGACCGAAACTTGCCAGCCCCGGCAGCCTGCGGGAGAGAACGGAACCGACCGAGGGCAGCCAACTGCGATGCAGCCGAACGATTCCAATCGCAGGCGCCCTTGCTGGAGGGGGGCTTCGAGGGTGAGGCGCATCGACAGGGGGGACAGGCTCAGAGAGGGAATCATCGACCTGGAATCGGCGGTACATCGCCAAAAGATCGGTGATGGGCCCCCGATAGCGAAGCCGCACGTTCATGGGCGGGGTGGGCTACCGGGCCGCTATCGGCCATCAATGGGCGATCGGATGTCGATGCGCCCCCCCTTGGGCGCGAACCATGGCAGCGCCTGCGGGAGATGGGCGCCCCCCTTGGGCGCGAACCTCGGCGCGCGCCTGCCCCCCCCCCCCCCGTGGCAGCTCCGGCGGGCGTCCTCGCCGATCATGATCTTGGCCTGCGACGAGATGTTCTGCGCCGCGCGGGCCGCGAGGAGGGGGCCAGGCGCCGCGAGGAGGAGGAGGAGGAGGAGGAGGAGGAGGGAAATGAGGAGGAAGAAGAAACTGGAATAGGAGGGGGGACGAGGAGGGCAGCCGTGCCGTGAGAGAGTACACAGCAGCAGTGCGCGAGAGGGCGCGGCAGCCTCTGCGCTGTGACTTCGCGAGATCCGTGGGTGGGTGGGATGATTGCGCGAGCATCCCAAGTTCGGAAGGGCGACTTGCACCATGTAGAATGCACAACATCTACGATTGTCTCCCAACTAAATTCGGATAGCCCTTCCCAGAATTGTTGGGGAGATGTGCAATGTGTTGTGAACATTGCATGAGTTGCATTCGATGCCACCCCACCGTTTATTCGGAATGTGGTTTCAGAACACCCCAACCAACCCGAATTCGACCCCCCCACCCCGCAACATCCTCGGCAAAACGCATGATGCGCGCACGTCGGATGATCAAACAATCGCTAATCTACGAAGCCCGGTTGCGAACAACAGCGTAAAATCCGCACGCGAGCGTCGTCGCAAACACAAGATGGGCGGACCATCGGCGAGGACAAGCGAGGCCCTCGGCCCTCGTCGACGCTGAAACGGCGGCGACTTCGCCTGGCAGCGGCAGGGGCGGAACCTGTAATTAGAGCTGGTCCGCACCAGCGGCAGCCGACAGACACCCGGCAACTCCACCAGCAGGCACGGCGAACTCCGCGATGTCCGCACCGTCCATGATGATCAACTCCACATAATAATCTCCATCTGGAACAAAGATGCCCGTCGCGAGCGGCGCGACGGCCTGGGCGCAGACGATCAAACGCTCGTGCCAGATCCTCGCCCCGCCGACTCAATGCCTGATCGGCACGAAGTCTCCCTCATCAAGCCCGAGCACCGCCAAAGGATGCCCGGCCGCTGCAGCCTCGGCCGCCGACATCTCAGAGCTGGCAAAACTGGCGAGCCCTCACCAGCGCCGGCTGGGCCCAGGCCTGCTCGTCAGGCCCTTGGACAAGCGGCGAGCCAGCCGCGAGAGGGTCGCGCGGCAGCGACCACGCGCTCACAGCGCCGATGCCGATACCGATCGCCAAGTCGAGCAGGTCGGCCGAGAGAGGCCAGGTGCCCGCGGGGGCAGGGCAGTCCGCGCGCTGCGCCTCTTGCCCCGGCGCGCACACGGTAGAGGGCGAGAAGGTAACCACACGGCGGACACTTGGAGCGGGGGCCCAGAGGAGAGTGGCCTGTGAGGCGCCGTGGACCAGCTCTGCTCGTGGGAAACCTCTCGGGAACATCGCCGAGAGCAGTTGTGAAGCCTCTTGGGGGCCGTTGTTGAATATCTTTGGGCCTCTTTTAAACCTCTTGGCGGCCTCTTGCGGCCTCTTGGGGGCCCCTTTGGGATCTCAAGGCGCCCTGTCGGGGCCTCTTTGGGCCGCCTGAGGGCCTCGGGGAGCGGAAGGCTGGAATCGTGGGTTCGTGCTCCCCCTCTTGGGGGCCGTTCTGGGGCCCCTTTTGGGCCATTGGGGGGCCTCTGGGGCCGTCATTGGGCCCTCTCGAGTCATCTTGGGGCTCCCGAGAGGTCTCTGATGCCGTCTAGGAGCATTGGAAGCCCGAAGCGGTAAGAACGCCCAAATCCTTTCAAAAGAGCCTAAGGGGCATGTATAATTTTAGCATCGTGGGGCAGTCGTCGGCCTTCTTGGAACGTCTTGGGGGCCTTTTGGTCCGTTTGGGAAGTTTTTGGGCCGTCTGAGACCCGAGGCCGTCCGTCTTCGACGAGGCTCGGTGCCGTCGTGGCCCGCCGGCCACGAAGGGATTAAAAAGGGGACCGGCCGGGGTGCGAGTTTTGACAAAGTGTGCCGCCCCCAGGGCCGGGGGCAGGGTTTTTCGTTATAGGATACATATATATATATATAGAAACCAACATGTGCATCATAGAGGGAACGAGAGAGAAGGAGAGAGAGAGAGAGAGAGTGAGAGAGAGTAGCAGAACTAGGAAGATGAGGACCTGGGGGAAGGGAATCATGTCAGGATGCTGGGAGCAAGAGAAGGGAGGGAGAGGAGGGGGTGTGACGGCGGACGAAGGGGAATGAGAGGGGGAGGTAGGGGGGTACACCGATCCTGGGTCCAGTAATATCTGGCCTCACCCGAATCGGTGTAAGTATATAGTTGATGCCCCCGAGGCCCGAGGGAGGGGGAGAGGGGGGTGAGCGGAGGGCGGCGCCCAGGCGAAGCTTATCATATTCGTCACCTCGTCCTCCTCCCCCTCCGCCTCCCCCGCCCCTCACCCCACCTCGCCTCTGGTCCCCCTCTTGGACACCAGTCGTGCATCAGGCCAGCCTGGGCCGCGCTGCTGCGCGCGCAAGCATGCGCGGAAGCTTGGGTCGAACTGGTGCGGTGCACAGCTGGCGTCGTCCAACCCCCGTCGCCCCCCCTCACTCTCGGGGGGCGGCGGCGCCTGGGCGAAGTTGATGATGCTCGTCACCTTCACAAGCGCCGAGGTGATCGCAATGAGCTTCCGGGCCACCACGCTCTGCGCCGCGGCCAGCTCCGCACTGGAGGGCGCCGTGGCGGCCTGCTCGTCCTACTCCGGGGAGGGGGGGCCGCAATCGAGCAACTGCCGCGTGTCTCCGGAGGCCTCTGGAGACCTCACAGGCTCCGTCGCGGTTCCTGCGGGTTCGGGGCGTGGCGACTTGGGGGTTGGCTTTTGATATCGCGTGGTTCACTCCTGAACGATCGCGGATTTCCGATAGCGCGGGTCGTGCATTGCTGGTCGAGTCGGGGCCAGTAGGCGGGGTTCCACCTGGAACGCCCACGCCAGTGTCGCCATCGCGTCAGCGCGGCGTGAATCTGGCGTGTACAGCGTCGATTCCTTCCTCCTCCTCTCTCCGTTCTCCTCCTCCCGTCCTATCCCTTCCCGGGGAGGGAGGGGAACGAGTTGGATGCGCACGGGTGTCCTCATCTGGGAGGAGGCTTGCGGGGAGGCTCGGGAAAACGAGGGACGCGCAATTAGGTGGGTTCAGAGACGGCGCTGGGCGAGCAACAGGTGAAGGAGGACGAGGAAAATGGCGCCGTGTGTACTGCTTCTGGGGAGGCTTGCGAGGGGCTCGGGAGGGCGACCAATGAGTAGGCGGTGCTCAAAAGCAGCACTGGGCGAGGACAGGACAGGACATCCGCGCAAGGGGGTCAACGTCAAAACGCCCGCCAAGGAGCCGTGGGGCACGACTTGCAAAACCCCCAGCGCGAAAAAATTGCCGCAGACCCCCACTTCCCATGGGGCCGGTAGGAGAACGTACACCAGGAGGAACACCTTGAGCCGGGACACCAGGGACACCCAGAACTGCAGCACCTGGAGCCAGAGGCACCCAAAGCACCCGGGGCACTCTGATCAACCGACTCTTTCGGGAGATGGGCACGCTTCTTCAGAAGCAAGGATGAAGAGGAATAGGCGAATGTGGGGGAGGAGGAGGGGGAGGATGAGGAGAATGAAGATGATGATGAGGAGGAGGCGGAAGAGGAGGAGGGGGAGGAGGAAAAGGGAGAGCAAAAGACCCAGACGCCTCTTGAATGCCTCGCGGAGTCTCCTCGGATGTCTCTGGGACACTTGTCGGAGGCCTCTTGAAGGGTTTTGGGGGCATCTTGGCGGGCCCCGTGGCGTCTTTGAGCGTCTTGGCTGCCTCGAGGGTCCCCTCGTGGCCTCCGGGGGGTCTCTTGGGAGCCTCTTGAACGCGTCTTCGGCGCCTTATGGAGCCTGCTGGCGACTCTTGGAACCTTTTGGGACGCTATTGGGAGCATTGGGGGCGCTCTTGGGGCCATCTTGGAGAAGATCGATCAAAGAAGGTGGGAGCTTCAATTCGCGCTGCCCCTCTAGAGTGCCTATAATCGTCTATTGGCCCGCTCTTGAAGCGGTTTTGGAGCGCTCTTGGGCCCTCTCGAGGCCGTCTTGGGGCTCTCTTGGGCCTCTCCTGAGCCATCTCGAGGCCTCGAACGCCAACGGTCTTGGGGCATCTAGGTCCATCGTAAAAATCAGATTGGTCCATTGTGGGCCATCTTGACTCATCTCGGAGGTCGTCTTGGGTTCCCTGGGGCCCTCTTGGAGCCATCGTGAGCCATCTTGAAAGCTCGGACCGCTCGCGGCACCCCCCGTCCAGGTCCAGGGAAGGGATAAGGGGGACGGGTAACCACTCCACGAAGGGGAAGCGGAAGGGGTGGAAGAGGAAACGCACTCGACCACCTACGCCATGAGGGCTGGTTGGATGTCTGCTGCGGTGCTCAAGGCTCTGCTGTGCGATTCCGTCGTTCGGGGGCCGTCCGGCCTCCCAGTCGCCCGCCTTGTGGATCCCCGCGCGCGCCGCCAAAAATAGTCGCACGTGCGCTGGCCCCATCTTGGCCTCTGGGGACTGGTTGGCCTGCGGGTCCTTGATAAACGCCTCTCGCATGGCTGCCGCCGCATTACTGCGCCCTCGCGCGTCGCGGAGAGTCGAGGAAGCCGCCGCCGTCAGCATCCGCGAATGGAACGCGTTGCCGAGGACGGCCCGCGCGCGCCAGACAAGGCATCAATCGCGCCGCGGTCTGCGCGCCCATCTTCAAAAGACGGTCGAGAGAGTCGGGCGCCAGGCCGTGCAGCTCGCCGATCTCCACGGCCGCGTCTGGTGGCTGCTGGGGCCGAACCCCTCCTTTGCTGCCGCCTGCTGTCGTGGCGCGCGAGGTGCCGCGCTGCCCCGCCTTCGTGCTCGCGCGCGGGAGGGGCGGGGGCCTGAGAGCCACTGCGGCCTCGCCCCGCGGGCCTATCCCCTCATCCTCGCAGCGCCGAGCGCGACTTCCCGGCCTCGATCTGCTCCGAGCGTGTGAACATCTGCTCGCTCACTTGCTAGTGCGCGTCGAGGGAGGGGGGCAGCCGGCATGCGTGATCAAGTGCCTTCTCAGGGCGTCAAGATCAGGAAAGGGTTCATTCACTCGCTGAGCGACAACCGGCTGCGTTCGGACCACCGCGAATGGCTGCTATCGTGATCGACGCGAACAGGGCGCGACAGGTGCGATGGCACTCGAACTGGGTGACGATACGGGCTCGGCATGATTGGGCTTCGAGTATTCAGCGCCGCCTGCAACGCGCGCTCCTGTGCAATCCTCCGAATCCTGAACGGCTGTCTGCAGAACATGCATTGGTTCGATGCCTTGGCCGCGTGCATGATGGACCGCATCGAGCGCCCCCCTGCCGAACAGAACCTCTGGAGAGCCAGCAGGGTCTGACGCGTCCTGAACTTCCGCCCGCAGACGATCCCCGTCGAGTCCACAAGGTCGAATCTCCAAATCGGGGCCGTCGGTGGGGCCTGGGCCGACTCGGCCCCTTGGGCCATGCAGCAGGGCCCTCCGAGTCCAGGAGGGGTAGGGATCCCCACTGTTTTCTCCGCCGCTCTGAGATGGCAGGGGGCCCGCTTTTAATAACCGATCGCGAGCTGCAGGATCGACGAATAGCGAGCGAACATGGAGTCGAAGCGGATCGTGTATAGACCGGCCCAGCACACATAGCTCCTTAAGCAAACCCTGCTCACCCTGCTCCTTGGCCCTCCCCACCCAGCAGGCGAATGCATGCGGCAGCGAAACGATTCGCATAATGGTTCGCGGTTTTCGAGAACGTGCAACCAGGCAGGAGCGTCGGGGAGGGCTAGACAGGCAGCTGGCCGAAAACTGCCTCCAACTCCTGCGGATGACACGAAGGCCTGCGGACCCGCCTATGATAAGACCAGAGGCGACGGGCGCAGAGCTCGATTGCACAACCAACGACACCGACGCGGAGTGACACATTCTCATCATAGCTCGCTCGGTACTTCAAGCCTTGGGTCCCTTCCTCGTCGAAAGTGGGTTGGCCCTCGGTGTATGTTTGAACATGCGTTTCCCCAAAGCAGTTGTCTGGTGAACCCGACGAGCACCCTGACCAACTTCTTCTCCTGGGAGGGGGCCTCTATCATCGTCGTCAGGGCCGAGACGAAATCACCCTGGACCATCGCCCCGAACGCTGTCTTCGTGAATCTCCAGACCCTGTTCCTCGCCCAGAACTTGCCCGTTGAAGCAGACCCCCTCCTGCACGCCAGAATCCTCCGACTGAACGATCCCTGGGCCCCCCGGTCTCACAGCCGCCTGGATTCCCGGGGCGACGCTGCCGAACTGAACGCATCCCGAGACCGCAACACCACCTCCGAATATCGCCTCAGCGTGAACTGTCGATCCTGGCCCGACAAAGGATGGGGAGGCATTGCTTTTGTCAGGGCTGCGAGCGTAGCCCCCGCCAGTCAGTTCGTCTCGAAGCCCCTGATGGGCGACCTTCAAAGTGTGCCAAGCACTCCCTGCCGATGGCGCGGTGCGTGTCTTGCTGGTGTCGTCGGCGTAGAAGCGACGCAATAAAGAAACAGGCCTCTGCAAAAAAAATCCACGGCGTGAAAATGTCTTCGCTCAACCTTCGCTCAAAAACAGGCCTCTTCATAAAAATCTAGGTTGGAGGTACGCTCAACCTTCGCAGGAGGAACAGCGGGGGCGAGACGAGACGATATCCATCGCCATGCGAGCTAGATCTCGGACGGGGTTGAGAGTCAAGCTAAGAACATGAACGCAGACCGTCCAACCACGTTGAATGTACGGGCGAAGAACGCAGCCGCTGCCGAGTCCCCCTTGAACGCTCCGCATGACTTCTTCAGAGTCTGCTCCCCATCTGATTCCTGAGTCGTGAACGTACTCGTCTCGTGTCATTGATGAGAAACCTACTGGGCAGCAAACTCGATCGATTCCTGCACTGTGCTCTTGAGCGCTTTTAACTTCGTGCAACCGAACGCGTTCGACGTGTCCTCTTTCGCGGTGACCGGCGAGATGCCCGAGGACCTCAGCCTCCAAAAAAGAGCTTCTTGGCACATGAATGCGGCTTCCCGATGACGCCCAGGCAACATCCCGTGTTCCCGATCAGGAACCACATCAGGAAAACACCGGACCAACTGGGCCATATACCAGGCCGCACCAAGCCTACAGAGCCCGTGAATGTACTTGGTGGCCTTGAGCCCATCCTTGCCGTTTTGTGTGGGCAGCCCCCTAGCCCTGAAGTGATGCCAGACACTGGGGTCCTCTCAATTCTTCGGATGTGGTGAGATCTGAGGGATGCTCACTGCCGCAGGCCTCCGCCTCCGCCCGCAGACCTCTCCGATCCCCCGCAAGGCGATGACAAGGAACAAAGTCCTGGGGAACAGGCCTCGGACGGCTTTGGGACGATTCGGGCTCCTCCCCCTCGGTTGTTCTCTCGGCGGCGCGGCTTGCGGTGAGAACCATCAAACCTGCTGCCAGGGTCGACCACCATTTGGACAACCTCAGACGGCACACTGTGCAGCGGGGTTGCCTTCTTCCTCGGGGTCCCCACAAGCAACTCAAACACCTGTGCCAAGGCATCCTTTCCCTCTTCGACGTGGGCAAGGTTGTCGTACCCGAGCGGAGGTGGGAACGGGAGGTACCCAAAGCAACACTTCTAACATTCCAAGAACTTAACAGGGGCAGCCTGCAAGACACCACTGGGCCCATCTTGCGAGGAATGCTCTTGAGCTTCAACCTTCCGTGGGACAGTTTCATCTGGAACATGGTACCGCCGTTTGTTTGGCCCTCTACATTTGCCCGCGAGCAAGGGCGCCAATCTTAGGTCGGGCCTGTCCCCCTACAGGCGGATTTTGGACGAAAAACAACAGAAGTCCAACAATACCCTAAAATACCCAAAAATCGTCAAAACATAGTCCCCAGGCTATTGTTTGACTATTTTTGAATATTCCCCCTGTAGGGGGACAGGCCCGACTTAACGCCAGTCTCCAGACTTCGGCGTGCTTCTGAGACTTCCAGGCAGAAGCGATCTCCCCGACGAGCAGCGACGATACCTGCTCGAATCGATGCCTCCGAAGCTGGCGAAGCTGCTCAGATACTCGAGCGAGCTCCATCGACGTCTCCAGATCATCATCTCCCGAAGTTCTCATAGAACGACATAAAGCTAGAAGCCTGGATTTCTCAGCCGCGAATGCCAGGAGGAAGGAATGAATAAGGGAAGGAACGGCGAGAGACGCGCGGCGCTACGGAATCAAATACGAGAACCCAACACACAGGAGGGTTCAGACAACCCTTACATCCTATCCCCCAGATTGCATCATACGTTGCGCAATCCTCGGTTGTACCGTTGTACCGTGCGCTGCGCCAGGCACTCCGCACCGTATAACAAAGAACTGGTCCACTCTGTCCCCCTGCGCCATAGGTTCCGCCATTGGACTCCGCACTGCAGAATCACCATTTGGTTCGGGCAATCTCCCATCTGACAGTCAACGTACTCATGACCCCCAGAGGAGACATCCACAGGCGTCACCAGCAAGGCACCTGCGACCCGAGGCGCTGAAACGGACGGGAGGGGCAGAATGGAAGCGGTGGGAACAAGGAGAAAAAAACCGCCGACGAGGGGAGCTCGCACGCGGCTTCCTTGATAATCTTCGTCTTCTTCGCTTTCACCGCCGCCTTCGCCGTACTTTTCCTCTCCTCCATGTCGGAGTTGTCTGCCTGGAACGCTGGCGCTACTGGGTGCGGGCTCCAGCGCCGCAGCAAGATGGGACTGAGGAGGGGTAACGCATCTCCGACTGCAATCAGACCGCTAAAAATCCCTAAGCAGTCAAGATGGCCCCAAGATCCCCCCAGTGCCCCCGATGGCCCCAAGATGCTCCAGGAGGCCCCCAAGAGGTCCTGAGAAGCCTTGGGAGAACCCCCAAGAGGACCCAGGAGGCCCGAAGAGCCCTCCGATAGGCCCCCGAGTGGCATCCCAAGGGACCCTGCATGCATTTGACCCACAACCCAGGCACGGTGGTGGGATGTGCCGAAGGCCACGAGATCCACCGCCCCCTGTTGATTTATCAAAGGGGTGCCTGGCGTGCCGGATGATATGGCTTTTGGTTTACTCCCCCTGGGGCTTCGGCCCGTCCCGCCAGTTCGCCGGCCACCCGGAAGAGGTGGTTGCAAACAGTGTTCCTGCCCCAGACGGCCCCAAGATGGCCTCCAAGACGGCCAAGATACATCCCAAACGGCCAAGATGGCCTCCAAGACGGCTCGGATGGCCCCAAGATGCTCCAAGACGGCCCAAGATGTACCCAAGACGGCCTAAGATAGCCTGAAGATGGCCCAAGACGGCCCAAGAGGCCCCCAAGCGGCCCCCACGACGGCCCAAGAGGCCTCCAAGAGGTCCTCCAGGAAGGCCCGAAGACGTCAAAATCATTGATTGTCCTTAGGATTTTGAAGGATGTTGGCATTTGCGCCTTTTCGGCTTTCCGACGGCCCCAGACGGCCCAAGAGACCCCCAAGATCGCCCAAGAGGCCTCCAAGATGGCCCCGTGACGGCCCAAGAGGCCCCCAAGACGGCCCCAAGAGGGCCCCAAGACGGTCCAAGAGGCCTCCAAGACGCCCAAGATGGCCTCCAAGATGCTTCCAAGACGGCCAAGATGGCCTCCAAGACGGCTAAGATGGCCCCAAGATGCCTCCAAGACGGCCCAAGATGCATCCAAGACGGGCTTAGATGGGCCCAAAAGGCCCCCAAGAGGCCTCCAAGATGGCCCAAGAGGCCTCCAAGAGGTCCTCCAGGAAGGCCCGCAGAGGTCAAAATCATTGATATTCTTGTGTTTTTCTAAAGATTTTGGCATTTGCGCCTTTTCGGCTTTCGGACGGCCCAAGAGGCCCCCAAGGTCGCCCGAAGATCGCCCAAGGGGCCTCCAAAATGGCCCCAAGACAGCCCAAGAGGACCCCAAGACGGCCCCCAGAGGGCCCCAAGACGGCCCAAGGGGCCTCCCAGACGCCCTCGATGGCCTCGAAGACGGCCAAGTTGACCCAATATAGCCTCCAAGATGTCTCCAAAACGGCCAAGATGGCCTCCAAGATGGCTCAGATGACCCCAAGATGCCTCCAAGACGGCCCAAGATGTACCATAGACGGCCTAAGATAGCCTGAAGATGGCCCAAGACAGGCCCAAGAGGCCCCCAAGAGGCCTCCAAGACGGCCCAAGACGTTTGGCCACATAGGCGCTTCCAAAAAGGCAGGGGGCGGCGGTGATTCGCCGTACGTGTCTTGGATCCGCTGGCCGAAGCTGCTTGGCGCACTGGAAGAATTTCCAAGTGGCCTCCAACTCAACCAGCTGGCCGCCGGGCAAATGCAGCTCCCAAAAGCATTTGGCCCCAAGATCGTCCCAAACTACCTCCAAGATGCCGAAGCAGGCCTTCAAGACGGCCAAGAAGGTCTCAAGCGCCAAAGAGGGCCCAATCTGCCACCAAGACGGCCCAGTGTGATCCCAAGACTACCCAAGAAGGCTCGAAAGGGACCTCCAGGAGGTCAAAATCATTGGTTCACCATGAAAGTTCACCAAGAGTTTTAGAACTCTCGCCTTTTAGGGCTTCTTACAGCTGAGGAAGGAACCAGAGGTCTCCAAGATAGCCTCAAGACGCCCGCAGAAGACTCCAAGAGGGGCCCGCGACGGGCCAAGAGGGCCCCAACACGGCCCAAGATGGCCCTGGAGACCTTGACTGCCCGAAAGCGTCCCAAGAGGGCCTCAAGGCCCAGTGGGGCCTCACAGACGGCCTCCAAAGACCAAGAGGTCCCTTGCAGGACCCAGGAGCCCCAAGGTGCCCCAGGAGGCCCCTAGGAAGCCCTCAGGAGGCGCCAAGAGGCCTCATCTTCCTCATTCTTCTCTTCTCTTCCTCCTCCTCCTCCACCTTCTTCTACTCCCTCTCTGCCTCCCGCAAAGTGTGCCCCACAACTTTCCACAAACGCTCGGGGAACACGTCGCCCAATTGCTTGGCAAGACTCTGGCGCAACGTTTGGTCACATGGACGTTTCCAAAAGGCAGGGGTCGGCGGTGGTTTGCCGTACCTTGGAGGTTAGTATACATTTATACGGAATCCAGAAGACTCCGCACATTGTTTTGGGTGCCAAGCAAAACTGCAACGCGAACCACAGCCGGAGCGCTATTCTCTATGCCACCATGGGTAGCACAGCGGACCACAGCGGAACCACATCTGGCCACAGCGGGAAGCTTGGGTGGGAACCCCAATGGCACCTACTCCCCTGGGCGTCCCCCCGCCCCGCCCTCCTCTCCACGCCTCTCCCCTCCTCCCCTCCCTCAGGCGCCCTCCCGAGCGTGTTGGCGGATTCGCGCAGCAGCGCAAAGCTTGAGCAGGGACCGACCGTCCCGGCATTCCTGTAGGCCTACCACGGAATGTTCTTAGAACACAACAATGTTCTAAGAACAACAACCATGTTCTTAGAGCGTAAACCCTGTGTTAAAACAAGACAGTCCCAGCCATAAATACTCGGAGGACATCTCGTACAAACCACAAAAGGTTGTTAGAACCTTCTTCGGTAGGCCCATAGGCGAGCCAGGACGCTTCGCCACTGCTTGAAAAGCGTCCCAGGCATGGTACGTGCGAGCCGAGGCCCTCCTGCGCCTGGAAAGAGCGCGACGGGAGCGGCGGGCTCAGCGCGGAGACGGGGGAGAGCTCGCCCGCGGCTGCCTTGATCATCTTAGTCTGCTTCGCCTTCAGGGCCGGCTTCCCCTCGCTCCCATTCTTGCCAGTGCTCTTGCCACAACGCTCGGCCACATGGGCGATTCCAAAAGGCAGGGGGCGGCGGCGATTCGCCGTAGGCGTCTTCGATAACAAGAGCGGCGGGCTCAACGCGGAGGCGGGGAAGAGCTCGCCCGCGGCTGCCTTGATCATCTTCGTTTTCTTCGCCTTCATCGCTGTCTTCCCCTCGCTCCCGCTCTCCTCCACGTCGGCGTCGTCGCCCTGGACGGCTGGAACTACTGGGTGCGGGCTCCAAAGGCCGCAGCAACGCGGGAGAAGAGGGGCGATACATCTCCAACATCCGATGTACCGAAACCATAGAAAACTATGAAGCAATCAGGCCGCTTAACACCTCTACAACAACATGTGTACAGACGCGGCCAAGGAGGCCCCAAGACCCCGCAGAGGCCCCCGAGGGTCCGCAAGAGGCTCCAGAAGGCCCCCAAGAGGCTCCAAAAGGCCCCCAAATGGCTCCACGAGGCTCCCAAGAGCCCGCCAAGAGACCCAGAGTTTTTCCCAACCATCCTGCGGTGCTGGGTCCTCGTTTCGAATCCGCGGCGCCCCGAGTCTCCATTCCTCCTTATCCTTCCTCCTCCTCCTCTTCTCTCCTCCCCTTCCAGCCTCTGCCCTCTGCGCGCATCTCGGCACACCGCTCACACGTTTCATGGCCCCTAGGGCAGCTCCACCGAAATCCCTCAAGGGGGCGGGGGGGCACATGTGGTCCCCCAGCCAATTTCGGCACACCCCCAACACGTATTGCGGCCCCGTGGGGAATTGGCATGCGCTGGTTTCGCCGGCGCTGGTTTCGCCCCGCAAAATTCGCCGACGGCTGGTTTCGCCGGCGCTGGATTCGCGGGCGCTGGTTTCGCCCCGCTGGTTTCGCCAGCGGGTTTCGCTGGCGGCTGGTTTCGCCGGCGCTGGTTTCGCCGGCGCTGGTTTCGCCGACGCGAGCCTCCACGGTCGGGTCGGGTCGGGCGGGCGGACCCTAGCGGGCAGGTCGGGTCGGGCGGGCGGACCCTGACGGGCGGGTCGGGTCGTGCAGGCGGGACATTAAAGTGTGGGGCGCGCTCGACAAAGCACGCGCGAACCCGTACAGGCGGGGCGGGTCGGGGGGGCGGACTCTAGCGGGCAGGACGGGACGGGTCGGGCGAGCCCTAACGGGCGGGTCGGGTCGGGCGGGCGGGCCCTGACGGGCGGGTCGGGTCGTGGGAGCGGGACATTAAAATGTGGGGCGCTCTCGACCGAGCACTCTCGAACCGCATCGGGCGGGTCAGATCGGGCGGGCGGACCCTAGCGCCCTAGCGAGCGGGTCGGGTCGGACAGTTTCGCCGACGGCACCTGGTTTCGCCGATTTCAGCTGGTTTCGACGACGGCAGCTGGTTCCGCGGCCCTGCGCGCGTTAGGTAATTTAGTCGCGTCCGCGGCCCGTTCGCGACCTTCCGCCGCTGGCGCTTCCGCCTGCGGCGGTAAAAAAAAAAGACGGCAGCTGGTCTCGCCGTCGGAGCTTGTTGCGCCGACGGACCTGGTTTCGCCGGGCGGCGAAACCAGCCGGGCGAAACCAGCCAGGCGAAACTAGCCGGGCGAAACCAGCCGTCGGCGAAACCAGTGGTCGCCGGGGAGTTCCACCGAAACCCCCTGATGGGGGCGGCACGTGTGGCCCCCAAGCCCATTCTGGCAAGCATCCCCCGCGTTTGGCTCCACCGAAGCCCTCCGGGGGAGAGGGGGCCGCATGCGGCCCCCCAGCCCATTCCAGCACACCCCTCGCGCGTTTCGTGGCGCCACTGCAAGCTTCACTGCACCGAGGCCCCCAAGGGAGTGAAGGGGGGGCACACGCGGTCCCACAGCGCATGTCGGCACATCCCTCACACACTTCGTGACCAACTAGGCAGTCCCGGCGAAGTCCCAGGGGGGGGGGGGGGGGGGCACATGCGGCCTTCCAGCCCTTTCTGGCACACTCATCCTCACACGTTTCGTGGCCTCTCCACTGAGGGCCTCAGTGGCAGGGTATCGCATGCGGTCCCACCGCAAATTTCGGCACACCCCTCACAAGAGGCACGACCCATTCCGCTGCGCATGCCTACGAGGAGAGGGCCATGTCCTGCGCTACTCGCAACTGCTTTGGGTTGGGTCCGTCGCCGGGCTAATCCACTGTTTCGGTCATTCCAAAACCCAGTGGGCTCTGGCGCACTCCGCTGGCAACCGGGAACGCATCATGAAAACATGGACATCACCAAACATGGCCTCCAGGATTTCCAAGATGGGCCAGAGTTGCCCAAGACGGTCTCCAAGACGGACCCAAGGCGTCCAATAATGCAGCACCAAGACGGCCCCAGAATCGCCCACGAGGGCCCCGAGTCGGGCAAAGAGAGCCCCGAGACTGCCCGAGAGGCCCCCAAGACGACCCCAGAGACCTTGAAGACGACTCGAAAGCCTCCAAACAGCGCCTCAAATACGGCCTCCGAAAACCAAGCGGCCTCTCCTCAGGAGGCCCCTAGGAAACCGCCAGGAGACCCCAGGAGGCCTCATCTTCGCCTTCGTCTTCCAATGTTTCTTCCCCCAAGTCCGAGGCGGGCCAAAGAAGTCCTCGAAAACGGCTTCCGGAGCGGCCAGACGGCGCAAGAGCCTCGCAAGACTGCCCAAGACTCCCCCAAGAGACGCCCAGGGGCCCCAAAGATGCATCCAACAGGTTCCCAAGAGGTTCCCAAGGGGCCCCACAACGACTGGATTGTGCGTGCTTCCGACGTGCACCCCGCGACGCGAAAGGAATTCACGTCTGGAGGTGACGCGTTGAACGGCCCATGTACCGAGTGATGGCAAACCTGCTGCATACTGCATGGTATTACCTCACAATGTGGCCCCCTCGTGCCCCCCCCCCCGAGGCCACGCCACTTCCGCTGACCAGAGTGCCCCGCTCCCTTTCGAGGCCCAAGGACTTGCAAGAACCTGTAGACATATAGAATGTGGGCCCATTGGGCATCTGGGGGGCAAGAGGGCATTAAGCCGACTCAGGATGACCTCATTGCTGGCCACGGCGACCCCAAGAAAGTCCAAGACGGGCCCAAGAGGGTCCAAAAAGCTTCCAAGACGGCCCAGAAGGCTAAGAGGACCCCCGAGAGAACCCTCCAGAGGCAAAAAGCATTGACTCCCCAACAAGTTTGGAAGATTTTAGCGTTCTCGCCTGTTCTCGGACGCCTAAGCAGCTTCCGACATGGCCCCAGGACGGGCCAAGAAGCCCCCAAGAGGGAGGACCCCAAGACGGCCCAATAATGTTCCAAGACGGCCTAAAACGGCCTGGCGGCCTTCGCAGGGGCCAACCCGCGCAAGAGCGCTCCAAGACGGCCAACCTCATACTGGATCGGTGGGGCCGACGGTGGCTCCATAGCTGCAAGTGCAGCCGGGTTAAATGCAGGTGTCCCTGCTGTGATTGGAATAGCAGGTTGCTCCGCACGACCCAGCATCCTGTTCGCCTGACAACCATGATTGGGACGCTGGCGGTCCAATTGCATTGAGAGATTGGCCTGCTGCGCCTCGTGCCGAGAATCTCTGGGCGCAACTCCCCTATGGATGATGGTACTACCAGGCTGGGGGCCTGTCGAGTCACATCTGAATCCATAGGGGTCGCCAAATATCCATAATGAGGAATCTGGCCCGGCACGCCTGACGTGTAACCAGAGCCGCATGTCAACCGAGACTGATAGAAGTCATCGGCTGTCGCCCGTGCACACGGATTCTGCGGCTGCGTTCCCGCGCGAGGGTTGCCCGTCCTGAGCATAGTAGCCAGGATAGAATGGGAAGTCCATCGGTGGTGGGTGCTGTAGGGCGCCCTGCAGCTGTCGGATCGTGCGTCGGATGATTGAAAAATGCTGGCACGCATCCGTACCTCTTGGGTTTGTCCGGTGATGGACTTGGGTCCGGGACATACTCCCAAGGCGGCGTCCAGCTAGCGCTAGGGAGGTCGATGCCGCCCCTGTGCACGCTCGATGCGGCTTCGCGCATTTGCCGGTACAGCCACTCTTGCTGACCAACCAAAATCTTGGTCCTTTGTGCAGCGTGGTGGTCAGGGAAAGCAGGTTGACCCGCATGTGGGCGCGGTGATGCGAACGGCGATGTCGCCTGCAAAGCCTGGTAGAGCTGCGGGTCCATCCGAATGCTTTGGAGCCTTGCCTGTGCGCTGTTGGTGCTCCCAGCACGCTGTGGAGTCCCAAATGGAGTTGTGGCCCTACTCATAGGTGCAAGAGACGCGCAAGTTGCCCTGCAGGTACTGGCAGCTGCTGCGTCTGGGCACGACGCGGATCGCTGGCGCGCAGCATGTCGGTGGGAGTAATTCCACTCGACGTCATACCAATCACGTCCGCACTCTGGGCCTGAATCCATGATCCGTCAGATCCCCAAGCAGGCGTGCCCGCGTGATACCCTTCTTGCAGCATGAATACCGTAGAGAACTCGACCTGCTGGATGGGCGTCGGTTCGGGGCACTTCGAAATGTAAGGGGAATAAGCCAATCTTTCAACGATGATGCATCATTTTTAATTTCGCGCAGATCGCCGAAGGAAAAAATCACTTCTCGGATATGTCTGATCGTTGTCCCACAGGTGAAAGGGATTGGTCCGTACATGTCCCACGCGGTTATACCTGCACTTATCGTTGGGCAGAATGCCTATAAGCTGGGCGATGTGCGTCTGAGGAAGTCTGCCGTTCCGACCTGCCGACATAATAATATCATCTGCGGAAGGCCAATCAACCGTGTATCACGAAGCAATTTTTTCAGACTGGCCATGATCAGCACTTCGGAATCGACGCGCAGGCAGGACTGGATTATGTTGTCACCCGGTAAATATGGGCAAGCAGGAACACACGGTCTGCCTTTTCTCTTGATGGTGTCGCCGGCACGGCATGGCAGCCCTATGCGAAGTACATTCGGGATAGTCTCCCATTGAGCACCATGAATGAGATAACGAGATGCACATGGAATAATTGAATCCGTTATCCTGGTATACAGTGATTCATGGCATTTTACCCCGGGACTGCTGCGTCCACTACTTGGGCGCGTGAAATATGTCTCGTACATCTCAGCTGCGAACTTGCACTTCTTGATCTAGAGCCTTTTTTTCGGCATCCCAGCGTTGTCGACCATGCCAACGAAGTTCAGCACAGTTAATGCTTGATATGCCCAATGGCGGTTGCTGAGATAACGCCGGGCAGTCTCCAGGTGTTTGGGGTGG